TTCTAAGATCCCCCGTGGCTGCACAGCTGAGTGCATCGCACACTCCCACTTCCACGACTTGCAGATCCCGTCTCCATGAAGCCACTACCGAGTTGACCAGCCCGGACGGCCGCTTTTCTCTCCCGGGCCGCAGTCCCCGCGCTCTGGGGAATCCAGACCCCAGTCACCCTGGAGGCGGGGACACAGCCCTGCCGCGTGCTCCGACAGAACCCAGACTGCCAGTCGACCTCGAGGGCCTCAGGGCAGCTCTGAAGTAAGGGGGAGGTAGGAACCAGCGTCCAGGGACAGGCCCCGCGCTATAGCGGGGCCACAGGCAAAAACGCTGACGTTTTTCTCCTGTGCAGAAGACCGCACCCTGCAAAAGCCAAACTGAGCTTCCAGGACTTCAAATTGCAGAGACTCGCGGGCGGAACTGAGGCCATCCAAGCCACGCCCCCACACCCTTCCGCCATTAGACCACGCCCACAGACCATCACCGCCCAGGCCACGCCCCATGCCCAAATTGAGAGGCCGGGCCACGCCCCACCAAGTTGCGCCACTGCTCTGCCCCGAAAGACCTCGGAGAACGCGAGCCGACGAACCTGGCTCCCGGGAGAAGCCCATGCAGACCCTCCGCGCTCCTCGGCGCCCTGAAGGCCTGCGCTTCCTCCCGTGACGCGCCGAGCCCTCTGGCCTGGAACGGCCCCTCTGTCGGCCGGGCCCCGCGTCCAGTGGCGGCTTCCATCTCGTGGGCTTTGCCAGTGGGCGACGTTTTTTGAGACAGAGTCTGCTAAGTCATTAAGTTGCCAGGGTGGATTCGAACGTGCAGTCCCCTGCCTCGGTCTCCCAGAGTGCAGGGGATTACCGCGCCCTAATACTATTTGTCTTTGAGACAAGGTGTTGCTGTGCATTCCAGGCTGGCCTCGAGTAGCAGCCGGCGCTGACCTCTCGCTTCCTGAGTGACAGGCTCTTAGGCGAGCGCTGCCATACCTGGCTTCTGATACTTTTGTGTTTTGTTTTTATTTTTGTCTTTTTTGTTTTTATCGGTACCAGGGATCGAACTCAGGGCTGCCTGCTTGCAAGGCAGGCGCTTATGCCGCTGAGCTAAATCCCCAGCCCCTGATACTTTTAATGATACTTGAGGGATGCTGTGTCTCTTGGGGTCCTGGGGCCGAGTCCCTCCTCGAATCCATGCTGACGTGGGCTTGGCGGGACACGGTCATCCTTAAATGAATGGCGAGTGCGGCAGCCGGTCCGCGGGGATGGAGGCTGAGGCTGCCCGGAGGGGCCTCAGGGTGGCAGTCGCGTGACGCGGACGGGCCAGGAGGGCTCCTTCTCAGCAGGGCTAGCCTGGGGCCGGGCGAGATGGGCAGAGAAGGGCGTGGCTGGGCGGGCAGAGTCGCTGCCTGGTGCGGGGCTGGCCCCGGGCGAGGACAAGGCTTCTACCTGAGACAAAGAAAGAGCCCTAGGTAGGTGGCTCCCGGGATGGGGTGCTCAAGAAAGTTTTATATGGCAGAACCACGAGGTGAGGCGGGTCTTGGGGGGGGAGGTCAAAACTATAGTATCGATCCAATGGGAAATTACATGGTGGTCGTGAGGCGGAACAAAACTATTGGTCAGCCAATAAGATTAGGAGGATAGGGCTGGAGGTTTAGCTCAGCGGCATAAGCCCCTGCCTTGGAAGCAGGCAGTCGTGAGTTCAATCCCCGGTACCGATAAGAAGGAAAAAGACCAAAAAAAAAAAAAGATTAGGAGGATAATCGCGCAGGTAATATTAGTTACGTGGGGGGGGGGGCTGGAGATTTAGCTCAGCGGCATAAGCGCCTGCCTTGCAAGCAGGTAGTCGTGAGTTCGATCCCCGGTACCGATAAAAATGAAAAAAAAAATATTAGTTACGTGGGAAGCAAGTCAGGTATCAAATGCAGTGAGCCAAACAGGAACTTTTCCTGAAAGGGAGGCTTTGGTTGGCTCCTCCCCAAGCCATTGGTAACTATTTAGAAAGGGAATCACTGCTGTTCACCCCCTGGGGAGTACTGGGTGTAGTCTGTTCTCCGTTCTGAGGCCAGATCTTCAAATTTACCTGAAGCCACAGTTGTCTTCTGCCCCGACCTTATCTGAGGGCCTGGTCCTGTCTCACTTCCTGTAATATTTCTAAATAGCTTTACTGTCTGTAGGAAGAAACAGGAAGGCAGAGAAGCCAGAGAAAGGGACGCTCTTCTGGGAGGGTCATCCAGGAAGGGGCGACATTTGATCAGTCCCATAGGGAAGCAGGGCCATGTGTCCAGCAGAGAAGGGTTTTGCTGCAGAGAAGAGACCACTCTGTCTTCCCTGGCATTCAGCATTGTCCGGCCACCATGGCCACCCAGGGGTAATACAGGTTGCCACACATAAAGTGGCCAGTTCCTTCACAGCCCAACACTCTTTTTTTTTTTTTTTTTTTGTCTTTTTCGTTTTTATCGGTACCAGGGATCGAACTCACGACTGCCTGCTTGCAAGGCAGGCGCTTATGCCGCTGAGCTAAATTCCCAGGCCCCACAGCCCAACACTCTCAGACCCACCTCTTATAGCAGCTCCCTTGGACTCTGCAGGCCAGGCTCAGGGCTGCCTTCCCCCTCTGGGAGCCCCAGCCTGTAGGGCCTTCCTTGTGGTCATGGGGTGCCAAGCCTCCTTCCTTTCCCTTGGGGTTGGTCAGAGTGAGGCCAGGTAGGACTGGCTCCTCTAAGCAGGACTGTCCCCAGCAAGTCATGCACTGCAGCCAGCAGACTGGTGGACATCTCTTCACCTTTCCCACAACAAGAGGTGCTGGGACCTGGGACCCTCTGGGGACTGAATTACCCAGATTCACCCTGCTCCAGGGCAAGACAATCCATGTCCAGCTTCAGTTCACCCTTTCCTGCTGCCCACCCCCCAGATTTTCCCCACTCAAGCCTGCATCAGTCTGAGGTCCAAGGCCTGTGCTGGTCTCCTCTTGGGAAATTCAGAACTTCTGTTCCCTGTTTGGAGAGTGGAAGCTCTCCCCGAAGGGTGTCTGGCAGGCCTGGTGACACCAACATACAGATGAGGAGTTTGCTAAGTAAGAATCCCTGCCAGAGAGAGCCAGAGCCCTGATCCAGCCTGTCCTGAAGCTGAACTCACTTAGTGCTGTGAGCCATCATCCTTCAAGCCCTTTTGAAGTGTGTTCCCAATGACATACCATGAAAAATATTTTGCTGGGGATTTAGTTCAGCAGTATAAGTGCCTGCCTGGCAAGTGTGAGATCATGAGTTTGATCCTTGGTACTGGAAAGAAGGAAAGAAGGGGAGAAAGAAAGAAAGAAAGAAAGAGAGGGGGAGAGAGAGAGAGAGAGAAAGAAAGAAAGAAAGAAAGAAAGAAAGAAAGAAAGAAAGAGGAAAGAAAGAAAGAAAGAAAGAAAGAAAGAAAGAAAGAAAGAAGGAAAGAAAGACAGGCTGGGTGTGGTGGCTTACACCTGTAATCCCAGCACTCCAGAGGCTGAGGTGGGAGGATCCTTGCGAGTTCGAGACCAGTCGGGGCTACAAAGTGAGCTCAAGGCCAGCCTGAACTGCATGGCGTGAGACCCTGTCTCAAAAAGAAAGAAAGAAAGAAAGAAAGAAAAGACATACAGATGGTGAAGAAGAAAGCCTGGTTTTCCTAGCTTGCCCCTATCCTGTCGTTATTTATGGACAAACCCAGGGATGAGGCTGTGCTAGACAAGGGCTCTCCCCCTCTGCACACCCCAGCACAACACAGGGGTCATCACAGAGAGACCCAAAGACGCCACGAAACCAGATTTTGGATTTGCAAGTTCAGCAAACTCACTAGAGGCCAGAAACATCACGTGCGTTTCTGCGAGTTAATGGTGAAGAACTGAAACTCGAAATTAATGGACAGACAGACATTAGCAAGGCCGTCAGTGGATGTAGTCATAACCAATTTTCTCAGTGCTCTGAAAGGTAAAGCAAGGAAATTCATGAAGTGAGGGTGAAAGTGGAAGCAATGATGCTGCTTCACCTAATCAGAGCAGCCCAGGAGAGCAGGGGCCCACTGTCCCCCATCCTGTCCAGCAGAACCACAGCCAAAGGAGGATCCTTTGGGGGAACTGGCTACAGAGAATAAGAGAAAAAAACAAAAATCCAAAGCTGGGCATGGTAGCACATGTCTCTAGTCCCAGGACTTGGGAGGCTGAGGCAGGAGGATTGCTGCAAGTTCTAGACGAGCCTTGGCTGCACAGTAAGTTCAAGGCCACCTAAATTACATAGTAAGACCCTGTCACAAAAAGATAAAAGGAGAAAAAAGGCATCAACAACGAAAAGAGACACCTGGATCAGTGGAACAGAACAAAGAACACAGACACAACCCCAGACACATTCAGCTCTCTGCTGTTTTACAAAAGGGCCACAAATTTAGGGTAGAAGACAGACAGCCTCTTTCTCTTTAACACATCGGTGCTAGGTAAACTGGCTTTCCATGGAAAGACCACTGAGTTTAGAACTCTGTCTCTCAGCACACACTAAACTAGCATCAAAATGGATCAAAGATCTAAATATTAAAACAGAAACACTTAACCTGCTGGGATGAGACAGATAAAACTCTTAGAGACAAATGTATAGGCAAAGAGTCTCTGAACAGAGCCCCAGGTATACAAGAATAACATAAAGCTGACCAATGAGACCTGTGAGATCCTGTCCAGCCCACGCCCAACCCTCAGCTGTGGCAGGCAGCTCAAGAAGAAGCTGATCGCAGGCATAAGGCAAACACCACTGATAATGACCCTGGGCCTGTAGCTGTGCCAGACCAAGATCCTGACTGGAACTATCAGAATGGACAAGGCTCAACAAAATTACGTAAGATGATGGAGTGTCTGATTGTGGACCTTAATAATATTGCTCACAAACATACTAACTACAACAAACTTTTAGAACAGGTCCAGGAGGCTAAGGAAAACCCAGCTGTGTTTTTAAATAAGCTTCGGGAAACCTTAATCAAGTATACTAATGTAAACCCAGACTCTCATGAAGGGATGATTGTTATTAACTCTTATTTTATTTCACAGTCTGCTCCTGATATTTGTGCAAAATTACAAAAGGTTGAAAATGGCCCTCAAACTCCACAAGGGGATCTACTTAAATTAGCCTTTCGTGTCTTCAACAATAGAAATAAGGTTCAAAAAGAAGAAAAGCAAGTTCAAAAATTAAAGTTTGCTAAATATCAGTCTGATTTCTTAGCAGTGGCACTCAGAGGTCCCAAGACAAGAAATCCGCAACAAGGTGTGGCTGCCCAAGTCCCGCCCGGACCATGCTTCAAATGCAGCAAACAAGGACACTAGGCGAAAGATTACCCTAACCCTGGCATTCCTCTAGGACCATGTCCATACTGCAACGTTAAGGGGCATTGGAAGAATGACTATCCTAGCCACCAGTGAGTGGGTAAGCCATTCTCTAACCCCTCGCCCACACAGGAGACTCCGTCAGTGCCAGATTCGTCACTGACTGACCTGCTCAGACTTGCTGCGGAAGATTGATGGGGCTCAGGGCTCAGCCCCCACTCCAGTAACCCTGTTGGAGCCCCAAGTCTCACTGGAGGTCTCAGTTAAGATAACATCTCTGCTTGTGGATATGGGGGCGACTTATAGTGTACTCCCTGAATTTTCAGGACCTTGTAGCAAGTCCTTGATTTCTGTTGTGGGTGGTGACGGCCAGCCGAATCAACCTTTGCAGACTGGGCCTGTCCCATGTAGATTCCAGACTCTTTTCTTTACCAACATGTCCACACCCCTTTTAGGTAGAGACCTTCTTCAAAAGCTTAATTTTTCCTTCACTTTCTCTCTCCCCACAGCCCTAATCCTCCAAACAGCCTCACAATGCATCACAAAGCCATTCCCTCCCCTTCCTCCTTCTCTGGTTGACCCCATGGTTTGGACACATCCAATCCCACTCTGGCTACACATGCCATGCCTGTTTTAATCCATCTCAGGGATCCCTCAATTTTTCTTTGTGTTCCCCAATACCCTATAGCTCCCCAACATTTAAGGGGACTTAAACCCATAATTAAGCGGCTTTTAGACAATGGTTTTCTTAAACCTACCCATTCACCCCACAATACTCCCATTCTCCTGGTACTCAAGCCTGATGGGTCCTATTACCTGGTACAGGACCTTAGAGTAATTAACAGTGCTGTTACCCCCACTCACCCAGTGGTGCCAAATCCCTATACCATGCTCTCTCATATCCCTCCCTCCACCACACACTTTACAGTTATAGATCTTAAAGATGCCTTCTTCACTATCCCCCTACACCCTGACTGCCAAAACCTATTTGCGTTTACATAGACTGACCCAGACACTCTCAGGTCTCAACAACTTACTTGGACAGTGCTCCCCCAAGGGTTCAGAGACAGTCCCCACTTCTTTAGTCAGGCTCTCGCTACTGACCTCACAGAACTTGATCTCAAACCTAATGTTCTCCTTCAATACATACACGACCTTCTATTATGTTCTCAATCCCATATGTTAGCCATACACCACTCAGCCAGTCTTCTTAATTTTCTTGCTAGTCATGGATACAGAGTTCTTCCTGAGTTTTCAGGCTGCTATATTAAGTCCTCAGTCTCTATGACGGGATATTGATGGTCAACCTATGCCATTTACAAACAGGGCCTATTTCATACAGGTCCCAGTCCTAAATATACAGGCTAACTTAGACACACTGAGACCTCAACAGCTTCCACCTGTTATCGCTAGTAAACCTCAGTGATGTAAGACCACCCCCTTCCTTTCTTATTCACCAATTTCTCAGGTAACCCTAGTCAAGACTGACAGATACATTTTTGTCTTCTCACTTTGTTTATACTTTTTCAGGATACATAAAAGCCTTTCTCACAACCAGGGAAACTGCTGATATACTTGCTAAAGTTCTGTTGCAGCAAATAATTCCAAGAACTACAACCAGGTTACAGCGACCCATACCTGATATTCTTGGTAACCCCTACAGCAGTCAAAGTTGCTAGACTGCCATCCTGGTTTCACATCACTCAGGCTAAGAGGTGCCCTTCCAGCCCTAAATCTGATCATTCTGAGTGGTCAACTCATCTTCTGTCGCCCACCTGTCTCCGTCTCACAAAGGCCTCACGGCCACAGTTAACAGACTAAGTCATGTTTTGTTATCCACTTTGGTTCCTAATTCCTTACATTCTATTAATGATCATTTTTACAGCAGGACTCTTGACAGTCTTTCCTAAAGACTCCCACATCATGCGTAAAATAATCTTCATAATGTTCTATATGATAACAGTTGCAGTTCTTTCTACCTTCAGCTGTCTGGTTAAAGGTGACATCCCTTACCTTCCCTATACTGGTACAGCCACCGCCTTCCCTGCTCCCTCTATTTTTTCCAGTTCAACTCCTGGACCAGAGACAAGTTTTATACACCTACTCTCTTAACTTTTATGCTTTCAGATGGGGGAGTAATCACCTCTTATAACATCATCTCTCCTAACCTCACCCTTAATTTTCAGAATTCTGCCTTACCGTGGAACATGTCTAAATCAAAGGCACCTTTCCCTCTACCTCACCTGGGTCCTTAAATATGACAGTGCCATGTCTCCTCATAACATATTGTCTCTTTGTTTTTCCAGTCTAACATACGTGCATTCACCAGTGAAGTTGTCCTGGCTAAAACACCTGGCACCAGCTTCTACCTGGGCATCAACCATCATCCTGTCAACTCCCCTAGGCTCCAGTACAGCACCCTCTGCCAGCAGGAAGTAGTTAAAGAGAGAAATCTTCGCCCCTTTTCATAATAATAATCATAAGATGGGATATGAAAGGGTTTTGGCCCAGACAGGACTCTGTAACCAGGAAAGCCTCAACTGGAACCAGGAAGGTCCTATCTCCCCCACCCCTAGGAATTTACCTGTGACGCCATCTTCCCGCCCCTGGAAATTTACCTATGGCGCCAAACCTAGGACCAATGGGCTACCTGCGCATCCCTAATGCCCTCTTTAGGTTCCATCCCAAACCGAGGCTACTTATGTGCCTCCGTGTTCCACGGACTCCAGCGGTGGGGGGTGCCGGTCATCTCTCTCTGTGTTCTCAAATAAAGGCCCCTTTTTATTTTATACTTCTCATGTTTTGGAAATACTTTTCATCTTTTGGAAATAATCCTATAGGGGCTGGGGATTTAGCTCAGCGGCATAAGTACCTGCCTTGCAAGCAGGCGGTCGTGAGTTCGATCCCCGGTACCGATAAAAATGAAAAAGACCAAAAAAAAGAATAGCAAAAAAAAGAAATAATCCTATCAATAAATACAGCCACTGGATTCAGTGTTACACATCTGTAATCCTAGCTACTTGGAAGGCTGAGGCAAGAGGATGGCAAGTTCCAGACCAACCTGGGCAACTAAGCAAGACCCTGATCTCAAAGAGATCAGGTCAGGAAATCGATATGGTGTATGTGTGCACCAAGTCTCCAAAATGAATGTCATTTTTCCACTACTAAGGACAGACAAATCTACACTACAGTTTGATTCCATTTTACCCTATTTGGAGTGGCTCCCATCAAGAACAGGAAAACAAAGAGTGGGGCAGAAACAGCCACTGTGGAAATTAGCGTGCAGGTTCCTCCAAAAAAGACCCCAAACAAACAGAAGCAGAGCTACCACTGGATCCAGCGGCGCCCCTCCTAGCAGTGCAAGAAGGAGCTGCCTGAGGCTGCCTTCCCCGTGGCATGGCGCAGTGCACGGCTGCCTTGGCAGAGACACCTGCCTGAGACACCCACGGACCAGCGGACGCGCAGAGGGGCGCGATCGTGCTGGAAGGAGGACGATTCCTGATCCGATTCGGGCATCTGCAGGGAAACGTATGGCCTGAGCCCCTCCCGCTGCACGGAAGGAGCCTCAGATCCTGCCCTGGAGACGCTCCGTGCTCTCCCAGGATGTGCGACCTGGAAAACGACAGGAGGGGGGAGCAGGGAGGGAGAGAAGAAGCGCGATGGGTGGTTAACGGGGGTGGACGTGAAAATACACACAGAACCCCTCCGGGAACAGGGGAGCGCAGGGCCCGCGGGGCTGTGGGCGCGAGCAACAGCAAAGCAAGTAAAGTGCCAAAACCAAACCCGTTCACCTGTGTAATCAGTTTAAAAAAAGAGAGTACAACAAAACAAGTTTTCATTTCTGTTCTCAATTATTAAATGCTTTCTTTTTTCACAAAAATGCACTAATAAACTAATCAACTGGGCATGGTGGTGTACACCTGCAATCCCAGCAGTCGAGAGGCTGAGGCAGATCACTGTGAGGACAGCCTGGGCTCGATAGCGCAGTCCACGGCTGCCTTGACAGAGACGCCTGCCCGAGGGCCACCCACAGACCAGAGGTGAACTGGTGACACAAGGAGAGCATAGTGAGACCTTGTCTCAAAAAGTTTTGTAAAATTTTTAAATAAGAGGGGTAGCTCAGTGTAGCTCAGTGATTTCTAGGTTCAACCCCCAGTACAGCAAAACAAACTAAAAACAAACAAACAGGTCAGGATGTAGGGGTGTTTGGTGGATGCACATGTGTGTGGTGTGTAACACGAGAACAACCAACCTGGGGGATAAGTCGTGAATCCTGGGGGGAGACTCACGCCAGGGGAAGGGTGCACAAGGCAGGAATGCAGGGACTGGCATACAGAAGACACCTTATTCAGATTTCAGTTCTCCGAAGTAAACCCAGGCCTGAGATGTGAAGTGTAAAGTTCTAGAAATAGGTTTAAATAACTGTGTTGTATTTAAGTCATCATATACTTAGAGACAGTCGTGGTGCTGTACATCTATAATCTCAGAACATGGAAGGCTGAGGCAGGAGAACCACCTTGAGTTTTAGTCCAGCATGGGATCCATGGTGAATTCAGGGCCAGCAAGATCCTGTCTAAAAATAAATAAATAAATAAAAATTATATTATATACTATTATTGCTACAATTGTTCTTTGTTTATCTCATACCCTGCCTAATTCATCTTGGTTTTTACATAGTAAGGATTGAATTCAGGGCCTTAACACTGAGCTACATTCCCTCCCGTTTCTTTTCTTTCTTTCTTTCTTTCATTTCTTTATTTATTTATTGGTACCGGGGGTTGAATTTACAACCTCGCAGTTGCCAGGCAGCAGTTATGCTGCTAAGCTAAAATCCCTGGTCCTATTTTTTTTTTTAATTGGTACCGGGGATCGAACTCATGACCACCTGCTTGCAAGGCAGGTGTTTATGCCGCTGAGCTAAGTTCCCAGCCCCCCTGACCCTATTTTTAATTTTTGAGTCTCACTAAATTGCTGGGTTGTCCATTCTGGCCTCAAACTTGGGATCCTCCCAGGATGCTGGCTCTTTTTCTCTTTTTTTTTTTTTTTTTTTTTGTACTGGGGATCAAATTCAGGACCTCATGCTTGCCAAGCAGGCATTTACAATGCTGAGCTAAACCCCCGGCCCACCAGGCTGCTTGTGCTATCACTCCTGGCTTCACCTTTTTTTTCTTTTTTTCTCTGTTCCCAGGCTGGCCTGGAACCCCTGGGCTCAAGTGACCCAGGACAGCAGGCACCGCCCTGGTCCCTAGGCTATGAGGCCCCCAACCAGCCATGTGGGAAGGTCCAATGCCTCCTCTCACCCCGCATTCCTAGCTCCAGGTCTCTGAATCTTTTGAACCTCAGAGAAATCCAAAGCTGGAAAATAGTTAAATTGATGAAAACAGATTTTTGTTTCCTGAGATGGAACCCAGAGCCTCACTCATGGGAAGTAAGTGCTCCCCACCATGCCTGTCTCCAGTCCTCAGAAAGTCTCTGTTCAGGGCTCCTTCCACAGGGAAGAGACCCTTGTATGAAGTGAGCCCCAACCACAGACTGACTGTTGGTGATAGCCAAGGCACGGTGGGGGCCAGTGGATGGAAAATTTCTGCCAGGGCACATGGGTGTGTGTGTGTGGGGGGGGGGTTCTGTCTACACCGACAGGGAAGGACTCAGGCGGAAGTGGGCTGGGCTGTGGACACCGGCTGAGAAGGAGCAGGGCCCAGGATGGGCTCCAGTCCCTGGGCCAGCAGGTTCTCGATGAAACTGGATTTTACTGGGCAACACAGCACCGTGGGCCTAGGAACAGGCTCAGAAGCCTGACAAGGTCTGGGCAGGCAGAGAAACAGAGAGCTCTGACCTCACTGCTCCCCCCACTACGTGGTGCCCACTGAATGCAGTCTTTACATCTCTTTCCAACGATGTGCACTGCTAGCCATTGGGATCATACAGCAAGGAAAAGCCCTTACCCCAGCCTCCAGGGAGTGCCCTCCTTGGGGTTCAGGAAGGCAGGAAGCCTAGGTCAGGGTCCCAGATCCCCCAGTCACATTCTGTCCCCATCTGCTGTAGGAAGAGCATTCTTGCACCTCATCATGCATGCCCAGTCAGAGGGGGTGATCTGGACTGGGGAGCTCAGTCTGTGGCCTGGAGCAGGGGGGAAGGGGACAGCACCTGTCCCTGCCTCCCCGCACAAACAGCTCCTGGCAGGGTGCAGACTTTTATGACCTTTGCTTTCTGACCTCTGCCTACACCAAAACAGAAAGAGCAGCCTGCAGGCAGAGCCTCAGATGGGAAGGGAATTAGGAAAGGGGTGCAGATGACTTCCCCAAGGAGCATCCATCTTGGCTGAGTCGGGGCTACTGGGGTGAGGACCAGGTGGCAGGGGAAAGGAAGGTCGTGGAGGTGGGCAAAGCAGGGGCCCGGAAAATGGTGGTTGGGACTGTGGGTGGCACACCAGATGGACTCCAGAGAAACAGCAGAACCCTGCACCCATTGCCAGGTGTCCTGCATGTGGGAACGGTGACCCCAGAGAAGTGGGTCAGTGGCAGGGCTCCCAGAGGGCCCAGAAGAGGTTGAGATTCTGGGAATTGTAGCAGGAAGGCAGAGAGGAAGGCAAAGGAATGTTCATCCTGGAACCAGACCCACATGAAGAACTTTCTAGAAGGAAGCACAACCACCAGTGTTGGGATGTAGAGAAGCCAGGAAAGCTGAAGCCCAGATGCACCCATCTGCAGGTGGGTTTGGTGACCCAGGGTCGCTGGGCAGGAGTGGCACTGCCCAGTGGGCAGCAGGCATCGTAGAAGGGCCTGGATGGGCTGCTGGCTTTAGAGGGTGGGGAGGAGGACCCCTCCTGGACAAACATACATGAGGTTCAAGGGCTTCTGAGTTCTCGGTGAAGGAAGCTCCTGGAGGTGGGGGGCAGGAAGAATCGATGGCAGGGCTGAGGGATGGCACTGTGCTGGAAGGACTGCAGAGACAGGATAAGATCTGAGAACCCGAGGGTGATCCAGAAAGAATTACAGGGGTTCACCTGTTCCGAGGCCTCCAGAGCAGCCGCGTGCCCCACCCTTACCTGCAGGGCAGTGACTATAGCGGTGTCACCCTAGAGCCAGTGTCACCCCAGAGCCAGGTGGCGGGGGGCGGGGGGGGACGGAGTCCTTCCTGACAATCAGCAATGTGACCACCATGCGTCAGAAGGAAGGGGCACCAAGTCCCATGGCCGTGGCGTGCCCTCTCCACACACGCACAGGTGTCCCTGCCGGGACCTAGGGCCTGTGGGGCGAGGGTAGAATCCCGGTGTCCTAGAGGGGTCTGCACAAGGGCGAGGGTCAGCGAGGGACCTGGATGCCGGTCGGAGACGCCCCCATGCCACCCCGCCCTGGCCCCGCCCCGGCCCCGGCCCCGGCCCGGGCCCCGCCCAGGTCTCAGCCCGGTGTTGGGAAGTTTGCGCGCGACTGGCTCTGGGCGCAGAGCGGGCGCTGACCCTTCGCGTCGAGGACCCAACTGCGCCACGAGGTGAGCACCTGGCGGGCCCAAGGGGATGGTCCCGAGCCGACCTGGGGGCGCCGGGGGCGGGGACGCGGAACGGGACCGCGGGGAGCTGGCTAGGGGCTCCCGGGTCGGCGGTCTCCGGAGTCCCGGGTCGCTCAGGATCAGACTGCTCCGCTCCACCGCGGAAATGCGCCCTCCGGGTTCAGATGGTATCGAACCGCATGTCCTGCAGCGTCGGGTCCCAGAGCCTCTCCCCACCTGGGCTTCGGATTCGCCCTGCCTCCACCCCTACCCTCTGGGCGCGCACACAGCCCCGCGGCCAAACCCAGGCCGGGTTCTGGGCGGTGTGCGCGCCCCTCCGCAGGGCGCCCCTGCCCCAGGACGCCCCAGGAATACCCGACTTGCCCCGGGGTGTGAGGGGCGTCGGCATCCCTCCCGGCCGACCCTTCTTCAGCGGCCTAGACTTGTGACTTTAACCTACCAGGCACCGGTCACTGCCGTGCCCTGCTCTGGTCTCTCTGGAACCCCCTCCCTCTCCTCTGACTGCGAGGTTTATGCCCCTGAACTCACTGACCTCTCACCTCTTGGCGCCCGCTTCCTCCGAGTGCCAGCCAGGGCTGTTTTCCTGGCCTTCTGTGCTGGGGACATGGTGTGTGTTGCAGGGAGCACTCTGGCCAGCATCCTAGGGCTGTCCGCCCCAACGGGGTGGGGAGTAGGCAGGCTCACCAGCAACCTATGGCCCTGGCCCCCGCCCCAGGTTGTGACCTTCCCTGGTTTCAGGAAAACATCTCCCATTTCACTTCCTACTCTTAGGGGCTCCCCAGGACCTAGGAGGTCTCCTCTCTTCCCCTTTTAGCTAGGGCCTTCCTTGGCCAGTAGAAACCTCTTGGAGTGGCTCAGCCTGTCCCAGTGGAAATTGGTGGGACCCTGGCTGAGCCATGAGTTCCCAATTGACGTGCCCTGAGGAAGCTGTCGTGGGCCAGTGCCAGCCTAGTAAGTAGCAGGGGCAGCAGGGCCATCCATGGGGCTCCTGTGGCCCAATGCCCTGCTGCAGAGCAGGGAGCCAGCAGGGAGGCTGTAGCCACAGCAGGACTCGCTAGGCCTGGGCCTGCAGCCTGAGGAACAGGTATGCTGGTCCCAGCAGGTGGAAGCATAGGGTCTCCTGCCTGGGCTCCTTGTTGGGGACAGGAATAAGACCGAAAGGAGACCAAGCAGAGCGCGGTCAGTGGAAGCTGCGGTGGCCCTCCACGTCTGGCTGCCTCATCATCCCGGGACCCCAGTTCTCTTACTCCTTGGACAAACATTTATCACGCGGCTGCTGGCTGTCCTTGGTGTCAGTGTTTACCCCGTGGTGGGGACCTGCACACACACACATCCAGAAGGGCCCATCCTTCCCAGCAGGTGAACGGAGCCCTTTGCCCGCTGGAATTTGCTCATTGCTTTTCCTCCCAGGAGAGGCGGGGACACCCACTCGGGAAGTTAAACTGTTGGTCCTGGTCCCAGCCTCCTACCTGGTGCTCTTGGCCTGACCCGAAACCTCAGCCGCTTGCAGCAGGAAACCCGTCCATCCCCTGCCCCTACTTCCCCTGTAGAGAAGCTTCCAGAAATCTTACCCACTCTCCTCCGCCCACAAGGAGTAGGGAGGCCTCCCTCTTCCTGTCTCCCCTTCCCAAACTCCTGTCACAAGTCCCTTGTTCCTTTAGGCTGGGGTCCCAGAAATCCTTACCTCCTCACCACCCTGTGGACAGGGGCACTGAGGAGGGACATTTTAAAGAATCCAATTGGGTATCACAAACTTGGGAAAAAAAAGAATCCAACTCTTCCTTCACCAGCTTCTTTTTTTCTGAGAGGGCATGAGGTGTTTTTTTGTTGTTTTGAGGCAAAGTCATTCAGGCTGGCCTTGAACTCACTTTGTAGCCCAGGCTGGTCTTGATCAGACAGCGATCCTCCTGTCTCAGCCTCCTGAGTACTAGGATGACAGGTGTGCCACCATGCACAGCCCTTCTCCACCTTCTGTGGGGTGGGAGTGCAGAGATGTGGGGAGCAGCCATCTTCGGAAAGCTCCCCTGAGAAAATTTCAGAGGCGGCCCATAACCCTGCTCTGCTGCCTCTGGACCCTGCTTTTCTCCAGGTGCTTCCAGAACTCATGGACCCCCAGCCAGGTGGCTTCTCTACAGTCAGCTGTGTAGGTGCTGGTAGCTCCAGGTCAGCAGAAGGGCCCTTGCTGCCCCACATCCCAGCAGGGTTACTGCACACTCAGGGCCTTCCTTGAAGTGCTGTCATTCCGGGAACAACTGTACCTTGCAGGGTCTGGGGCAGCATCTCCTGCTGCAGGCTCCTGCCTACATCTTCACTGTCCATGAACCCTGGCTAGCTCCTGTCCCCTCTGTCCCCAAAGCCTCCCCTCCCACACTCCCAGGGCCTCTGGGATATCTGGCAGCTGAGGGCAGCAGCAGTGGGTGGACTGCTTCGTCAGAACCGGGAGGAGACAAGGCCTTGTGGTGACCCCAGGGCTGAGGGTGTCTGACCTGCCCCTTCCCTACCTGCCTGCTTCCTTCTCCCTGTACTGTGGGCCCGTCTCCCAGCCCCAGCCCCATGGCTCCTGGCTCGCTCAGGACCTGGGTGCTGCTTCCAGTCTGTGCCTCTGTACCCCACAGACCAGGCACAGGGTCCTGCAGGCCTGGTGGGAGCTCTTGCCCCTTTCAGCTGTGGCACACCCCTCTCCTCTTCAGCACTGTCTTCTGTCTTGTATCTGTCCATCATCCACAAGTCTCCCTCCCTCTTTGGGTGTACAGGAGAGAGACTATCACATCCCTGCGGCAAGGCCCCGAGAGTCCTGCTTCTCCCAAGGGATTCAGTCAGAGCAAAAGAGGGCTCTGCTGCCACCCTGAGCTCCCAGGACCAGGCACTGTGGCCCTCTGGTCCCTTGCATGGAAGGGTCTCTTATTTGGCCTCCAGCCTCTGTCGGGCTAATCTCAAAGGAGTGTGCTGCCAGCCAGCCTGTGGTGCTCCAGGGACCCAGCAGCCCTGTCTTAGCCTTGTCTGAGGCTATGCAGCCATGTTGTGGGCTGGTCCTAGGAGAACACACATGTGAGGAGGACTGTGTGTTACACACACCAGGCCCTGCATGGCCATGAGGGCCAAGTGACCCCACAAGCCCATTTTCCCATGCGTTGGGCTTTGGCAAGGAGAGGGGCCACTGGGCCAGGGAGGCTATGCTTTAGAGCCAGTGCTCTAGCCAGTGCCCCTCTGTGCTTTAGAGCCAGTCACCAGCACAGGGGAACCTGGGACTGTCAGAGCCACCAGAGAGACTCCCTGGATAAAGCCACCTGCATAACCAGGCAGCCCTCCTGGGGTGGAACAGTGCTTCCCTTCCCTCCTAGCCCCAAATCATCAATAGGACCGGTTTTAGGGGAGCAGGACACACCTGGCCGGGACTCTGTCTGGACCCCACTGCTCAGACCCTCTGCAGCCCAAGGAAGGGTGTGCATACCCCAAGCACCCACACTTAAGGCCTCTGCCAGATGTGGGGGGCGGCAGTCCAGAGGCATGCCCCCCACCCAGCCTCACCCCCTCCACCTTCTGCTGTTCCTGCTGCTGGTCTGCCAGGTGAGTGCTGAGTGTCCCCATCCCTGCCCTGGCCCAGGGCACCCACTCTGCACTGACTGCTGTTGACCCTCCATCTCACCTGCCTACCTGTCATTCTGGCTGCCCCTCCACCTGTCCACCAGCCGCAGGCCTCCTCTGCTCAGGTGATGGACTTCCTGTTTGAGAAGTGGAAGCTGTACAGTGACCAGTGTCACCGCAACCTAAGCCTGCTGCCTGCCCCCACCGGTGAGTCCCAGCAGCCCCAGCCCCCCTTGTGGGAAGCTACCTGCTGGTCCTGCCACCCCAGCCCCACTGCACTTACAGGAAGATGACTTGAGCAGCTCACACAGAGTGGGGCTGAGGGATGGGCCCAGTGCTCAGGCAGGAAATAGTCACTCAGGGCTAAGGACAGACTGAAGCAGAAGAGCCTAGGGGGGCTGTGGCACTGCCCAGAAGAAGGAGGGTGACCTGCGTAGGCACAGGACAGTAGGTATATTGCTGTGAGACTGGCACTGGACCCCAGATGGGTGCCAGCGGAATTGGGGTGAAGCTCCCAGAGAGGAAAGAGCTCAAGAAGGCAGGGCAAGTATGGGGATCTGAGAAAGGACCAGGCTACACAGAAGTGAAAGTGGGCATTGTAGGTCCAGGAGAGGCGGGTGGTTGGGGCCCTGGCCCAGGTCAGGGAGGCAGCAGCTCCAGAATGCAGGCTTGCAGAAGCGATGGCCACATTTAGGGGGCTTCCAGGAGGGAGAGAGAGGCTTCTCGCCCAGCTGGGCCCCGCTGAAGAGCTCCTGGCCCTACCCCACCTCCACAGAGCTGGTTTGTAACAGAACTTTTGACAAGTATTCCTGCTGGCCAGACACACCTCCCAACACCACTGCCAACATTTCCTGCCCCTGGTATCTGCCTTGGTATCACAAAGGTATCCCTGGGGACCTGGGATGGCGGAGGGGACGAGGCCTAGGGGTGGGCTAACCAGAGCCTGCCCTGCGCCCCAGTGCAGCACCGCCTGGTGTTCAAGAAATGCGGCCCCGATGGACAGTGGGTGCGCGGGCCCCATGGGCAGCCATGGCGCAACGCCTCCCAGTGCCAGATGGATGACCAGGAGATAGAGGTCCAGGTCTGCCTTGGTGGGCAGCGGGGAAAGCACAGCAGGGCTGGGTGGGGGCAGTGGAGGTGGCCCCTGCCCAGCTCTGAATGGGCACTGTTATTTGTAGAATGAGGTGGCCAAGATGTACAGCAGCTTCCAAGTGATGTACACAGTGGGGTACAGCCTGTCCCTAGCAGCGCTGCTCCTGGCCCTGGCCATCCTGCTGGGTCTGAGGTACGCATGGTTCAAGGCCAGTGTGGGCAGCCCCAGGGGATGGGGCCGGCAGCGCTGACTCGATGTTCCCACAGCAAGCTGCACTGTACTCGAAACTACATCCACCTGAACCTCTTTGCATCCTTCGTGCTCAAGGCAGGGTCTGTGCTGGTCATCGACCGGCTGCTTGAGACCCGCTACAGCCAGAAGATCGGAGATGACCTCAGTGTCAGCGTCTGGCTAAGCGATGGGGTGAGTGCTCATCTGCCCGGGTGGGCAGGGCCCTGGGACTCCTGCTCACACTGTGTCCTGTTCTGTGAAGGCAGTGGCCGGTTGCCGCGTGGCTGCAGTGATCATGCAGTATGCTGTGGTGGCAAACTACTGCTGGCTGCTGGTGGAGGGCGTGTACCTGCACCGCCTGCTGAGCCTTGCTGCCTTCCCAGAGCAGGGCTGCTTCGCACTCTACCTGGCTACCGGCTGGGGTGAGTGGGCCAGTGCTGGGATCAGGGAGGCGGGCCAGCGGGGCTCTAGACCTCAGCTGCTGCCCCTTACAGGTGCGCCGCTGCTGTTTGTCATCCCTTGGGTGGTGGTCAAGTGTCTGTTTGAGAACATCCAGTGAGTACCAATGATTGCAGGTTGCCAGGGTGGCCTGGGCCTTGGCTCTGGGCTTGAGGAGCCTGGGGGAGGCAGAGCACCCTCTGACCAGGGGCCATATAGGGTGTGTTCAAGCCTGGTGCCTGGGGAGGGAGTTGTTTGTGACCTTCCTTCCTACCTTGGGGCACTCATTAGGTTCCAGCAGAATGAAGATGGGGTGGGGGTGGGGAGTTGGGTGCACCTCAAGGATGTAAGTGGCTGCCCCGCAGGTGCTGGACCAGTAATAACAACATGGGCTTCTGGTGGATCCTCCGTGTTCCTGTCTTCCTGGCCATCTTGGTGAGGAAACTGGAGGGGACACTCATGGGGGCCTCAACAGGTCCTCCTTCCTGGAGCCCTAAGAAGAGGCAGCATCCTGCCAGAAGGGAAGGCAAAGGCAGCTGGAGCCAGTGTGCATCCAGGATGCCACCCTTGGTTGCCAGCCACGCTACGCATCCTTGGATGGATGCCCACCAGCCCCAGGGCCCAGGGCCCAGCTGGCCACAGGCCCACCTGCAGGCAGACAGGTAGGGGCCTCCAGGCCACAGAGTGTCCAGGCTTGCACTGACCTGTGTCCTCCTCACAGATCAACTTCTGCATCTTTGTTCGCATTGTTCACCTGCTTGTGGCCAAGCTGCGCGCCCGCCAGATGCATTATGCTGACTACAAGTTCCGGTGGGTGGGGCCAGGCAGGGGTCATGGGGCACAGGCCTGAGACTCCCAGAGCCAGAGTGTGCCTGGGAACAGGGTTCGAGGCCCATGTGGGTAGAGCCCAGCCCAGGCAGGCAGGCCGAGATGCTTAGGCTGCTTCCCCCAACAGGTTGGCCAGGTCCACCCTGACCCTCATCCCCCTGCTGGGTGTCCATGAAGTAGTCTTTGCCTTTGTGACGGATGAGCAGGCTCAGGGCACCCTGCGTTTGGCCAAGCTCTTCTTTGACCTCTTCCTGAGCTCCTTCCAGGTGACCATCTGCCTGCCCCTGAGCCCCCAGGGATGAGGGCCCCCTCTGACCACCCTTTTTCTCCAGGGCCTGCTGGTGGCTGTTCTTTATTGCTTCCTCAATAAGGAGGTACGTGGGCACTTGGGGCCCTGGGGTCTTCCTGCCTGCTGCATTTATACACATGGAGGTTGCCTGGTTGTGGGGCCTCTCAGGGCTGAAGCTGGCTCTTGGGAGATGGGTGGCAATGCTGATCCCCTGGACCCACAGGTGCAGGCAGAGCTGTGGCGGCGCTGGCAGTGCTGGTACCAGGGCAAAGCACTGCTGGATGAACGCATCACAGGCAGCCACTTGGCCCCAACAGGGCCCAGCCACAGCCCCCTCTGTGAGAAGCTTCAGCTGGTGAAGGGGGCCAGCAGCAATGGGGCCGGCCAAGACCCCTCTGCAGAGACCCCCTTGGCCAGTGGCCTTCCTGGATTGGCCAAGAGCCCCTTCTGAGGCATCTTTGGAGCCCTGGCCAGGACTGGACTCAGGGACCACAGCGCATTCCAGGACACTCCTGAGCTAGATGCCAGCAGTGGCCCGTCGCCATCCCTTCCTCCCCACACCTTCCCTGTCCCCAGGGCCAAGGTGATATAATTCAGGTGTGGCCCCGGAGCTAAGCCAGGAACTGCAGGCTCGGCTTCCCATGTGTGCTGCTGTCCTGTGTGCATGGAAGTGTGTGTCCTCCAATAAATGACTCAGGTGGTTACCATTGGGAAGGTCCTGAAACGCCCTGGATGGAGGCAGCCAGGCCAGGCCCACGGAGGGAATCTGTGATAGCCAGGGCTAGTTGTCCTTTCCAGAGGGCTTCCCCATCCCATTTCCCTTGCACAGACAGCTGGAGGGGCCCCAGCGTAGCCAGCCATCTGTCCCCAGCTAAGCACCTTCTGGGCATCCTCCTGTTCTCTGGGGCTTTCTTTGCCCCCAGATCCTCAGCGACCCTGTTCAGCAGCAGAGGGTTGTGATCCTGCCAGTACAAAAACGGGCACCTCGTTTACAGAGGTGTTTTCTAGACAGCCCTCTCCCTGGAGGCAGCGAGAGCACCAGATTGAAATGGAGAAATGCGTGTCCCCAGACTGCCCTAGGCCCCTGTGAAGGTGGCAGCAGGGTTGCCCAACCTCTGCACAGCCCCCATCACTCATTAAAAGAACAAGCTCCCCCACCATGTGCTGGGCACAAGATCCCAGAGATGCTTTGGGGTAGGGACTCCAATATTTGGGGGCATCCTGAATCAGTTGCTGCGGAGGCATGGGGTGTTTGAGGTTCCTAGTTCTGTCCCCAAGATCATGGAGCTGGGTAGGGGCAAGTCCAGAGAGTGAGCTCAGGTGGGGTGGCGAGGACCCTTCTAGGTGCCCCTGTGAGGAGAGGCTGGGTCCTAGGTGAGGGGCACTATTCAGGCAGAGCTGGGCTAATTGGAGCAAATGAAAGGACAGGAGGCCTCTTAGGAAAGGTAAACAGAATTAACCTGCCAAGGGCTGGGGCCCTCCAAGGGGGGTCCCCACCCAGTCACCCACTGAGGGCTGGGGAAGCAGGGAGGAGGGGACAGGCAGAGGCTGGTTAGAGTGATACCCTTCCAGGTCCCAGTGGGGTTCAAGGCCAGGGGTGGTCCAGTGGCTGCAGCTACTGGAGGCCTGCTCTCTGGGATTTGGGCCAGCTTCCACCCCAGCCCAGGTCCTGACTCAGCCTGACATTGTGTCCTAGGGTACCCAGTGGGCTCAGGTATATCCTGCGTCAGCACAGGAGGGGGGTCAGTCCTTCCTACCATCTGAGCTCCCAGGGCCTCCTGAGAGCCCTCCGCAGTACCAGCTCTTCTGCCCTTGTTCTGCTTTACTCCGTCCCTACCCCAGTTCCCAAGGGAACCAGGGTAGGCTGGGGGAATTGGGGCAGAGGTAGGGAACTGGAATGGCTGGGCTCACCTGGCCAGCAAACACTGACCCCACCTGGGTGGCCTGCAGGCAGACAGGTGGCAGGACCAGCTTCCCACTCAGCCCTGCACCCACCAGCACCCACTATTCCAGGAGACCCCATGCTGCTTCCCCATCCCTACCCCTCCTCCCCTAGCTCTGCACCTTGGTCCCCTTCCCAAGAGGAACCCTTGAGTACCACCCAGCAAAGGGAGATGGTTGCCTTGAGGACCCCAAGGATGCTACCAAGATGGAGGTGGAGACCAAGAAAAGGCAGGGACTAGGATAGCAGGGTCAGATCTAAGGAAGGCAGGCCATGGGCAGCTGGGCAGGGCCCCGAGTTCAGCAGAGGCTCGGGGGGGGGGGGGCCTCAGGGGGTTACCCCACCCAAAGACTGAGCAGAGATGCAGAGGACCAGGAACAGCTCAGGAGCATTCAGACAAGTACTGTCCCCAGCTCCCATGCCACAGCACCCACACTCCCTGCCTCCATCTACCTCCTGCAGGCCCCACAGCATCATTTTCACCACCATGGGGTCTGACCCCGACCTGGGCTCCTACCACTGCCCACCACAGCAGGGTCCTAACAGGTCTCCTGCCTGCCAGCCCCAGCCCCTGCAGCAGGAGAAATGAGCACCCTATCTTGAGATGACAGAAATGTGAGACCAAGGCCTGGTAGTGCATGACTGTAATCCCAGCATTCAAGAGGCTGAAGCAGGAGGATCACCATGAGTTCCAAGGCCAGTCTGAATTTATACAGCAAGACCCTGTCTCAAAAAAAGGCAGGGGCCAGGAATTTAGCTCAATGGCCTAAGGACCTACCTGGCAAGCATGAGGTCATGAATTTGATCCCCGACACCCCCAGAAAAGGGGAGACCAGAGATGTAGCTCAGTGCTATAGGGCCTACTTGTCAAGTGCAAGGCCAAGTTCAACTACCAGTATGAAAAAAAAAAAGGACAGGCCTGCTATTCCAGGAGGCACCTGCCAGACGAAGAACGTGGGGAACTGTCACTGGAGGCCATACAGTGAAAGAAGGGGCAAAGGGGGTTGGGGATCATGACACTTAGCCTGTGCCTCCTGGATGTGCTTTAACATGGGCAGGGGTGCGTGAGAGATGCTTTGTGTTCATTCTGTCAAATGAAGATAAAAATGAAGGGGTGGGGTGCGCCTCGGTAAGAGCACGCTTTCCTAGGCTCCAGACCCTGGCTTTGGAATGAGGTGAAGTGGGGAGCTACAGTTTCCCTACAGGAGTGTGGTCCAAACCTCTGTGCCATACTATAAAAGCCTAGTAGCTGGGCGTGGTGGCTCATGCCTATAATCCCAGCACTGGGGAAGCTGAGGCAGGAGGATTGTTGTGAGTTCAAGACCAGCCTAGGCTACAAAGTGAGCTCAAGGCCAGCCTGAACTGCACAGAGACCCTGCCTCAAAAAGACAAAAAAAAAAAAAGTCCAGCAGGCCGGTATGGAAAGCTAAGCACAGCAAGGCTCTGACAGCAACGTCAAGCACTCAGCACCCAGCAGCCCCCAGAGAGCAGGTACCGATGGCCACTTGAAGGACCAGAACTTGGGGACCTGGCAGCCTGCTCCAGGCCAGGTGTACCTGGGAAGGCTGGCCAGTCTCCCCCCACACCTCTGCTCATCCCAAGGCAGAGGGCACTCGGATTGGGGTCTTGTTTCCACCCCACCCTCAGTGAGCAGATGTGCGCAAGGCACTGCTGCAGAAGCCCTAACAGCTGTGTGCGCACCTGGGCTGCCCTGGGTCTCTGGGCTACATCTACCCTTCTCCTGGCCCCAGACAGTGGGAGACAACTTGAGACCCAGGCCGAAACTCACAGCGTTGGCACCTGGCTGTGGCGAGTGCCCACTGGCAGCAAGAAGCAGCTGTTTACCACAGATGCTGCCCCTTCCCATGCCTCCCTCCTGCAGACATCTGCCCGACCCTCCCCCAGCAGTCTCAGGGCCACCCAAGTCCCAGAATACTCTTCTGGGAAAGAGTGTTCCTGAAATAAATTCCAGTTTGGCTTTGCCTCAGGAGCAGGCGCCTTCCAAGGCTCTTTCTATGTCTGAAGGTCAAGTACAACTGGGTTTCTCCTGGGGCCCAGCAGCCACCCCTTTATTTGGCCAATGGAAGACCAACTCCCTAAGGGTGTGTAGCTTGTGCCACAGAAAGTGGGTGCAGGAGGGAATGGGCTCATAGGGATTCCCTGCAAGGACAGGGATTATCCTAAGCAGCTCTGGTCCCCCTGTCCTCCCAGGACACCATCCCTCACCGCAGGTCCTGGAGTCCACACAAAACTTCTGAGTTTCCCAGCACCATGCCTGGGAATTCCAACACACCGTGGGCTGCGGGGCAGGGGCCTAACAGACTGCCATGAGGCTGATCCCAGTGCCACCCACCTTTATTCAGGGACCCTCAAGCTCCAGAGCCACAAACACTTGGCGTCCAGAGGGCACAGGAAGAGAAAAGGGCTCTGGTGACCCCCCAGCACACTCCAGAGAGCCAGGATGGGCCTGGCAGTACCACTGCCTCAGAGTCAGCCACAGTGCACCTGCCCAAGGCTGCAGGCACCAGGAGGCCAGGCCTGGCTGCTGAGAACCCCTTTAGAGATGCCAGCGCTGTCCCAGGCCCAGAGAGCTGGTGCTGTCCTGAAGCTGAGGCAGGGAGGGGCAGGCTGGATAGTAAGGGTGAAAGGAGAAGCTTCCCAAGTCTTCAGGCCAGAGGGGCAGCAAGGGACCAGAACCCCCAAGCCGGATGCAGGTGGGGCAGCACTTGTCCTACTTCCTGGTCATCTCAAGGACAAACCAGTTAGTCCCACCAGCTGAGAGAGACAGGCCCCTCTTCTCCTGATCATGACAGGAAGCTGGGAGGAACAGCAAGATGGAGGGCAGGGCAGGTGACCAGAGAGAGGGCTGGGACAAGAACTGTGTGGGGCAGGAAGTCAGATGGCACCCAAGGTGCAGTAGCCAGGATGAAGGGCAGGGTCTGGCAGGGCCAGAGACCCCTCCAGGGACAGCAAAGGATGGACGCAGAGAGGAGGGGCAGGCCTCAGCCATCAATCCTGTCAGCCCTGAGGTTTGTGCCCACTGGGAGCACAGCCCCTCCCCCCTCCTGGGAGCAGGGCCCACAGGACAGGAGACACCAACATCCAGTGACCCCAGTCTTCCGGAGGCCGGGGGAGGGGCACGGGGCACTCTATGACTTCTTGGTGTCCTGCGTGTTCCGGCGCTTCAGGTCACTCAGGTCGATGGGCTTGAAGGCTGTGAGGACAGTGCAGGCAGCCCTGGCATGCACCCCTCCAGCCCTGATCTGGGAAAGCCTTGATTTGGATGTCTTAGGACAGGGTGCAGGAGGCAGGCGCCCTTCCCGCCCCTCTCACCCACTCACTCTTTAGGCCAGGGTTGGGGACCTTCTCCACATACTCTTCCACCAGGCCTCTCTCACCCCCCGACAGCTGGCTGCGCAGGTCTCGCTCCACACCCTGCCAAGCTGTGGATGCAGAAGACAATGGGCCAGTGTCAGGCAGCATCTGGGCCACAGGAGCCTCTGCCCACAGCACCAGGCCGCCCAGATCCTCCTCTCTTCCGGAAGCATCCCCTGCCCCTACCACTCTCCTGCCAGCCAACAGTGCCCTCGGGCGCCTGGCCCTCCATGCCCCCACCCCTCCAGAGGCCAGTCTGCTCTGTGTGTGAGTCCCCTGCACCCATTCTGGGCCTCAGACAACCATGGCTCACTTCCCACCTCCCTCACCAGCCCCACTCTGGCCACTCCAGTGCCAGCCTCTGCTTATTCACTGCTGGTGCACTCTGTCTCCACCAGCTCCATCCAAGCCCCAACCCACACGCACCCCAGTACTGAAAGCAGGCTGCAGACACCGCCTCTCCTGGGATGCTGCCTACTCCCCACACCTTGTTCTTGGACTGGCAACCCAAATTGCCTGGCCCACCAAAGGAGTTGGCGTGACAGAGGTGCCCACACCTTGCTGGGGACAGGAGACAGGAAAGGGCTTTGGGAAGCTCCTGACCTTCATAAATGAAGCGCACATTCTCCTCGTGGGCTGGCGTGAAGATCTCACTGCTGTTGGTGGGAGACCGAGGGCTGCTGTTCCTCTTGCCGTTGTAGACAACTCTGGAGACAGGGGAACTAGGGACCCCAGCACATAAGCACAGTGGGGGGAGGGGGGGTGTCGGACAGGACAGGGCCATAGGAAGTCAGCTACACCCACACCCAACAGGTGGCCCCTCACCTGCCTGAGACTCACCTGGTCATTGCTGAGATGTCTGGTCCCAGTGCTCTGCTGCTGGATCCCCTCAGCCTCTGAAAGGGAAGCCCCAGAGCACAGATGTGAGATGGGAGTGTTACTTGTTTGGGTGTGGTGGAGCATGCTCCTAATCCCAGCACTCAGGAGAGTGAGGCAGGAGAATCACCACAAGCTGGAGGCCAGCCTGGGCTACATAGTGAGTTCAAGGTCAGCCTGAACTACATAGTAAGACCCTTTCTCACAAAAAAAAAAAAAAAAAAAAAAAAAAGTAGTGAAGAAAAGGAGTGTCTGGCAGGGAGGGGGTACTCCACTGGCTCCCTTTAACAGTCATCAAACTACATGGTTTTGCTGCCCAACAGATGTTCCCCCATGGTTGCTTAGCAACTCCAGGCAGCCTACAGATGCAGGAGAGCCAGCAGATGGGGACAGGACACCAGCTGCCAGACACAGGCGTGATCCAGGGCAGTGATTCACAAGCTTGGCCCGCATCCCTGCCCTGGTCTTGTTTTAGCTGGTGGCAGCCTCTCATGGGCTGGGTGCCCCAGCTCTGCCTCTACTGGCTGCAGGGCTGGGTGGGCTCTTTCTGCAGTGCCTTGGCTTAACTGTGAAATGGGGATACGCTTCCCGATGAGGAGGAGCCCAACAGACATAGCCATAAGCCCAGCTTCCTGGCCCGGAAGGCCAGTGCAGGGGTACCCCAGAGATCGAAGTAGACTGGGGTTAGGACAGCCTTGGGGGAGGCAGTGTGTGACCTGGTGACCAGGGTTCCAGGGTATCCCTTGTTTACAGTCTTGTCTGGGCCCAGGGGATTTTCACAGCCCTGGAGTGGTTTTGTTTTGTTTTGTTTTGGTACAGGGAATGGAACTCAAGACCTTGCGCTTGCCAGGCAAATGGTTAAGCCACTGAGCTAAATCCCCGCCCTTGGAGTGGGATTTTTGTTGTTGTTGTTGTTTTGTTTTGTTTTGTATTTTTTGGGCCGGGGATCAAACTCACAACCTCATGCCACTGAGCTAAATTACTGGCTGCTGTTGCTGTTTTGGTTTTTTTTTTTTTTTTTTTTTTTTTTTTTTCCCCCCCGCTGTTGCTGTTTTGAGACAGGGTCTTACTATGCAGTTCAGGCTGACCTTGAGCTCACTTTTTAGTCCAGGCTAGTCTCAAACTCACAACGATCTGATCCTCCTGCTTCAGTTCCCTGAGTGCTAGGATTACAGGTGCAAGGCCCTATGCTTGGCTTAAAAACCGATTTTTTTCTGAAGCAGAGGTTTAATTTTAGGGTCAGGATCTCGAATGTTGGGTGAGGATACACAGTGGCCCTAGAGTGAGGAAGCCAGCCAAACAGGGCTGGTCCCAAGCCTGGCCTTGCTCCAAAGGTGGTCAATCCTGGGTGACAGGGTCATGGGGACCTGAAATGGGGCTTTCAGCACAAGTGCCCTAGGGCCCAGAAGCACCACACAGCACAGAGGGCACAGCTGCAGCTTCCCCAGAGGCCAGGAGGGCCACAGGGTCATCACATAGCTGTCCTACATTTAAACACAGCACAGGTGAACACAAGCCTACACCCAAGGGCAAGAAAGAGAAAACAGCGCAAAGCCAGACCCCACAAGGGAAGCCACCAGGCTCCTGAGGTGCTCAGTCCAAGGGATGCATAGCTCACTCATCCAAGAGCCCATGCTGAGACTCAGGGTCTCTCTCTGTCCAGTCCTTCCCATGGACAGCCCAGCCCAGGGACACCATGGCACAGGGACAGCCCCCTTGGGTCTGATGACAGTGGGACTAGGTGGAGAAGCTCTATAACCCAGGACAGAGATGCTTCTGAGGTCATTGTTCAGAGGATGATGGACTGGCCAGCACCTGCTCGTGTCCTGGGGCCTGGGCAACCTTCTGCCCCTTCAGTGCACTCTTTTCTGCCTAGGCCTGACAGTAACCCTGCCTCCTCTAGTGCCCCTCCTCCCATCAGCCTCAGATACTTTCACATACCGTGCCCAAAGCCTGGGTCTCCCTGCTGGAACCACTCTGACTGGCAGTAGTTTGAGTTTGGCTAAGCTGAGGGAAACCTGAGCGTGTTTACCAGTCAGAGCTGAGGAGGCCAGTCTGTCCCTAGAGGCTGGCATGGAGGGGCCCAGATTCACTGCTGGTGAAGAGACTGGGAGAGAACCTAGGCTCACAGATGTCCAGTGATGCCTACTGACCTTGCTGAGCCACAACTGGTCACCTGCGGGGCAGCCTGTTGCTCAGCAGCCTGGGTTAGGTGTGTCCCTGGCTGAGCAGGGAACAGAGCAGGATGGGAGGGGCAGGCTCACTCAGACTGAGCAGCTGGGAAGAGGACCCTGACTCAAAGGTCTCAAGAACCTAACTCAGCACCCAGCTCCCAAGGGACTCCATCCCTCTGCAGCCCCCACCAGGAGGAAAGCAGCTCAGCAGGAAGCCTCCTGCAGCTCCCCACCCCGAGCACCTTATGCCCAACAGTTCCCAGTCATGGTCACTGTCTCAGTGCGACCCTGCACCCAAGATGCCACATGTCCTGCACACACTGAAACTGGCTCCCACCTGATGATCACTATTGTGACAAAGTCTGGCAATGTTCTCCCTCCCTTTCTTGGTGGACTGCAGAGTAAGATGTAACTCCCACTGGTAGTATTTCAGACCAGATGACCCTCAGGGGTGGTCTCCTAATCGAGGGAGCCCCGTCCCAAAACTCCTCCATACCCTCTTTCTTGCATCTATTGCACCCTCTACCACTCATGTGCGCACCTCCACAGTGCCAACCTCCCCAGCTTTGGAACTGGCATGAAGACAGCAGCACCGCCTTCCCAATACCTTTCCCATGTCACTCATTCACCAGCGGGCCACAGCCCAGCCTCTCTACTGCCACCAGACAGCCCACAGCACGGGTGTTTCATATTTTCTCAGATGTCACCTGCTACTACATTTCCCAACCCCAAATGTGATCTCTGCCACAGAACCACCTTCTACCTGATACTCCAGGGGACAGCAAACGACTGTGCTCTGCAGGACAGGATTGCTGTCACTGCATAGCCACAGACACAGACACAGAATGAACCTGGCTTAAGTTCATCCATCCCTCTCCACCTCAGGACCTCATCTGAGGCAAAGCAGCCCTTAGCATGCTTGCCAGGCTCTCCTGCTCCAAAATGGATAGAAACCTGGTCACATGAAGCCCCCAGCTCAGATGAAACCTCGCTGGCTCCACCTCCCTGGCCCTGAGGACACTGCTGATTACTAAGAGACAGGAGAATTCTGGGGAACTGGAAAGTAGGGTCAGCCAACTCCTAGGGAGGTACGGACTCACCCTGAAGAGACCCCGATAGCTACAAGAGATGCCTGCCAGGGCCAGCCACAGGGCAGCCCTTGTGCTGGGCACTTTATACAATCTCTCAGGTGCCTGTAGCTCAACAAGGAAGGCGGCTCCTGACAATGCCCTGTTCAGAGGGTAAAGCCAGCCAGCAGTAGTGAACTCAAAGTAACTCAATCCCTGTACCACCAGGGCCTCTAGGGCCACAGCAGTTGGGTGAGACCTAAATGCTTAGGCTGGCCTGAGCCTCCCTCAACTCTTCTGCAGTGTTGAGATCAGACCCCTGGCCTCACACATGCTAGGCACATACTCTACTCCTGAGCCAGATCCCTAGCCACTGCCTTAATTCCTGCCTGCACTCCACTGGCAGGCTCCTGGACTTCCAGAAATGCCCTCCCCAGTGACATCCACGTGGCTGGCCCTCACTCCAGGGCAGCGTTTCATCAGGTGGGTCTCCACTTTGGAACTCAAGGGCATCAGTGATGTCCTACGGAGTGGCCGGGGACAACAGCATGGTGCAGAACTCGTTTCAGACTTTTTAGGATTCAGGAGGTTTCCCTAGACACCATCCAGCCCCGGGACACCACATACATGGGTGACACTCTAAAGGCTGGTCACTGTGTGTTTTTGATACTGAAACATCCCTTGGTCTCACTTCCATGTTCTATGTCTTTTTCAGCCAATAAGACCATCAGAAAATCATCTACCTGCCAAGCAGGCGCTGGAGGGACGCAGTTGTGACAGCTGCCACATAGACCCGGTGGTTCCCTGACGCCCTCTCTGTCCTGCCCATCACCTGCCTCCTTCTTCATCACTCCACACCTGGAGATCCCGGCAACCCGACTGCCCTGGGCTAGGCTCTTGCTTCCCTCCTGCCTCACCTCTCATCTCTAGATGCTCTCAACAACTCCTGCCCGGAGGTCCACTCACCAGCCTTCACCGACATCTAGAGCCCTTTGCTTAAATTTGCCCTCTGCCCAAAACCTCACTCCACTCAGCCTTGGGGGCGGCAGAAAGCCTGCCCTTCGGTTAAGTCTACCCTGGGGAGCACGGCGCGTTCTGGCCCACGTGTCACCACTGGGATGACATCTGCGGGGTTCCGTGTTGTCCCGGCGGTCGTGTCCGACTACTCTCCCCAGTAGGGTGGACAGTGGCAGAGACGGGAGAGGAAACTCGGAAGGGCCGGCGCAGTCCAAGAATCCGGCGACATCCTCGCAATACCTCCCGGGCCGCGGGGATAGGGACACTGGTCCACCTCGGTTCCCCGGGCGGAAGGGCCCCGTTCGCGAGGGCCGCCCTCCGGGTTTACGCGGAAGCTGCCCGGCCCTCCCCGCCCACCCGGGCCAGCGACAAGGTGACACTAGGGCGGGGCGGGGCGGGGCGGCCGTGGTCCCACGGGGCCCGCGCCCGTCCCGCCCCGCCTGCAGCCGGCGCCGCGCCCGCCTCACCTCGCCTGCCCGGCCGCCGCCACCGCCTCTTCCCGTGAGGCCGCCGGAAGTGACGCTTGCACAGGCGCAGACGGCTCCGCACGTGACCGCCGCGCGGGTTCGCAGGACGTGGGTTGGGGCGGTGGGTAGGGGTTTAGGATCAGGATCCAGGGATTCGGGAGCCGGGACTGGAAGTAGAGAAGGACAGGATTCACGGGAGGACGAGAGGCGGAGCACGACGCAGGTGTTGGAGACTTAGGGATAGATACCTGGGAGGCGGAACGCAGAGGAACGGGAGACCTGAAGAGGGGACTACAGCGGGCGACAGGGGGAGTCGGGAACAAGGAACACAGCTGGAAGCCGGCCTTGGGAAAAGGAACGGGGCAGGAGGCCGTGGAGAGATGGTTGGAATGGGGAGGACTGGGGACATGGGAAGACCTGAGGACTAGAGGGACGGAACTCGGAGTGGGGGTGCGGAAGGATGAGGGCAAGGACATAGAAGGATGGAGAATTTAGGGAGGCAGGGTGATTCCCGACCCATTGGAGGGCATGGGATGAGTGGGTTGGGAGTTCTGGGGAGAGAGGTTGGGGAGACACCAGAGATGTGGGGACAGAAAAGATGATTGGGGATGAAGGAGTTTCCAAGAGGTTGTGGCCCCCCAGCCTTCTGCCACCACGGAGCCCAGTAATCAGGCAACCACCACAGGCTTGGGGATAACATTTATTGAAAAAGTAAAAAGTGTCACAATAAAAAATTGACCTAGAGAAAAAAACCAGGTCAGAGACATAGGTATAGGGGCCAGGGTCGGGCCTGAGGATGGATGGCTGGAGCCCAAGGCAGGGCTGTCTAGTCTACGCTGGCTCCCTTGAAGAGCTCCACCAAGTCCTTGAAGTCTGGGTCAATGAGGTCCGAGGGCAGATCGCCGTCGTCATTGGCTGCTTCTCTGTCTGCCCCCAGGGAAATGAGGTACCTGGGTGCAAAGGGCACCCTGGTTGAGGCATGATCTGTCCCGCCCCAGAGCAGAGGGTGAGAGTCCTGGGGTCACATGCTAATTTTTCCTGGCAGGGTGAGGGGGAAGAAACCAGACCCCTTGGCAGCTGTGTCAGTGTTTCCAGTTTGGTGTAGCATAGCAAAGGGTGGAAATGGTGCTGGAGCCCTTGGGATTGTTGGCTGCCCTGACAGGGCCAACTTTTGGAGGACCCCCACCCTGGAGACCAGGTGAGGCTTATCGGGGTTGTGATGCAACCTCTTCTCACCTGCACCCTTCTGGCTCACCTGGCTATGTCAGGGTACCCGTCACTGCAGGCGATGTGCAGGGGTGTCCAGCCTGTCTCATCACGCTGATGAATGTCGGCTCCATATTTGACCAACAGCTTCACGCACTCCAGGTTTCCAGAGAGCACAGCTTCGTGCAAAGCGGCCAGGCCTGGGCAGGGGTCAAGGCTGAAGTCCTTGAACTGGCCTTCCCCTGCCACCCCACACACCCTGGGCCAGGTGCTTTGGTCCTCTCACCTGAGGGGTAGATGGTGTCCAGAGAGACCTTGCGAGTCCTGATAAAGCGCCCCACCTGTTCCAGGTCACCCTGGCGGATATGGTCCAAGAAGAGGACATCATTGGGGAAATGGACACTTCGATAGGCCATCAGCCGCCGGCGCCGCTGCCGGGGACTATATCTAGAGTAGCGCACAGTTCTGCTGGGCATTGTGGGGGATGGGGGTGGGCTGCCCCTTGGGACCCTGCTGCACTGAGGTGCGGAGTGCACCAGCCAGGCCTGACCGGGTCAGTGTCCAGGCTCTTCTGTCTGACCAAGACCTCGTTCCGGCTCCTGGCTTATATAGGCCTCTCGGAGCTATATAAAGCTGTGCAGTCATGCTTGCCGAGCAAGGGGCTGAAACCGAGCTGCTCCCTCCCTCCTCGCGCGCACAGGATCAAGTTTGGTGGCTCATCTTTCAGCCCACCTGTTGCCATGTCCGGCCAAAGGGGTCAGATCCTTCTTGGCCACCACTCCTAGTCCCACAGCTGGACCTAGAAGGTGCCTCACAGGAGGCTGGCAGAGGACCTCAGGTGTGGGGGCAAGGCAAGGGCCCAGGATGTGGAGAGAGCACCTGCAGGTTTCTGGCCTCTAGAGGTGAGGGGCTGCCTTCCCCTCCAAAGAGTACTGGAGGCTCCAGCCCTGTCCGCCTTCCCACCATTTGTTGTCCCTTTCCACTGGGCTCCAAGCCCCCTGGGGCAGCAATTCCAGCACAGCCACCATTGCTGCCCAGGCAGGGTCCCTGGCCAGTCTGCCATGTCCCCACTAAGTGCCTCCCCTGCCTGATAAGCCCCCCTGCCACCCTGTACACATTTACCCTCCTTTTTCTCCTGGTTTCAGGATCTCCAGACACACTGCCAAGGACATGCGCTCATCCTGAAGGTGGCATCCATTCTGTACCACAGAGGGACTGACCTGGGAGTGTCCCTCTGTCCCATCCAGCAGGCTTCTCTGCCTGCTGCCCTCACTTTTGCAGAAGCTACAGCTACAGCAAGGACCTGGGAAAAGCTGGTAGATAGGCCAAGGATACAAGCAGCCTGTGCCAAAAGAGCCCAGGAACAAGGCAGTGTGTGTGTTCGGGGGTGGGGGGACAGCCCTGTGGGTTCCCTGCAACACTGAGAACTGCCAGTGACCCTGGGATCCCTGCTGGGCTGCCCTGGAAGAACACCACAGGTTTAAGACCCAGAAGTCTCAGGGGAGTGTTCATTCTAACTCTCACAATGCGTAGAGGTCTCTAGTCCTCGGGCTCCATCTCCACATGGCTTATACTGTGTCTGGGTCCAAATCTCCCTGTTTATGAGGACACCAATCATAACAGGGCTTGGCCTGTCAGTATCACTTTGTCTTAGCCAGTTATATGAACAATGAACTATATTTTGCAGTAAAGTCACATCTGGAGGTACTGGGGGATAGGATAGGAATTTAGAGGGGACAAAACTTAATTCATTCCCTTGGCAAGATGCTCTTGGTGGTGGTTGGAGGCCTGAATGAGGTCAGAAGTCAGACTGACTGGCTGCTTCTCCAGAGTAGGAGAGGCTGTGGTTGCAGCAGGCAGCAGGCTGGTCTCTGACCAAGGAGATCAAGAGTATCAGGAACCCTCCAGGTTGCAGGTGACTGGCAAATGGCACTAAGTGAGGCCTGGCTGGGGTTTTGCCACCTGCCTCCAAGTGCAGGCATGCACCACCACAGCCCGGGGCTGTGCCCTCTGCTCCTTTCTGTCCAGGCCTTCGTCATTGGGAGCTCGCTGGGGCTATTTCCCATTCTTTGGGAGGAGTCAGGTATAGTTTCTTTTGACTTTGTACACGAATCCAGGAAGACAAGGGTTTTGTTCTGTCACCAGACAGGACCTTTCTTTGAGAAGACTGCCTTTCCTCCTACTGTGGGAAAATTCCATCTTCTCCACTTGGAGCATGGGGTGAAAGTTTTTGGAGGGGCTCAGTGGGAGAGCCTGCCTGCTGTGCTTCAAGGCTTGGGTTCAATACCCAGCACTACAAAGAAGCAAAGAGTCACTGGACAAAGCCACCCCCAGCCCCTTCCAGCAGTGGGATCAACTTTTGAAGTGACCTGGTTTGCATGATTGGGGGAGGGGTACCGGGGCTTAAACCCAAGGTCTTCACCCTGAACTATGTCCTCCTTGGCCCCCTTTTATTTTTATTTATCAAATCTATTTTATTCAAAGAGAAAAAATTTTAAATACATCCATCCATCCATCGGGGGGCAACAGTGGTACATACATTGGTCATTGTCATCCCCAAACCTGTCACCCAGAGCACAAGATACCTGCCTTCAATTGTCTGAACACCAGCACAAATATTTCTCTTCACTGAACTCAGAGAAATCAGCAGGATAACTATCGTAACTATCTGTTTTATTTATTTGGGGCTGGGGATTTAGCTCAGCGGTATAAGCGCCTGCCTTGCAAGCAGGCAGTCATGAGTTTGATCCCTGGTACCGATAAAAACGAAAAAGCCAAAAAAAAAGATAAACTTTTCAATCCTGCCTCAGCCTCCCAGAGCACTGGGATTTCAGGTCTGCTTGGTTTGCATGATTTTAAATTACTCTTGTCCTAAGTAAGTAAATAAATAACTACTTTTTTGAAGACAAATCAAAACACTTATTTAGAAAAGTTATCTTCTTGGGGCTGGGGATGTAGCTCAGCAACACAGCACCTGCCTGGCAAGCATAAGGTTGAGTTCAATCCCCAGTACCAAAAATAAAGAGTTACCTTCTAACAATTAAGTCCAGTGAATGCCACCAGCCCCAGAGTCCTGCACAAACACAAAGCTCAGAGGCTTCCCAGCACTTGACAGCTGGAGCAGGCGGACTGGTGTGAGTTCACAGCAAGTCTAGATGACATGGTGAGACCCAGTCTCAGAAAACAAACAAAGCCCAGAGGCTATGAAGAAAGTTGGGCCAGCCCAGCAAGCACAGAGAGGTTCTGAGGCCAGGTGACACCTCAGGTGGTGCCTTAGCCTGGATCTGCTGTTTTAGGACCCAACCTAATGGCTCCCTGTGGGAAGCCGCCTATGAATGGCGCCCATTTCCTGCTTCCGGGTTCTTCCCGGCCTGAACAAGCCCGCCAAATTGTCATATCTGCCCAGTTACCCGTGACGCTAGCCTATCAGCTTGTTAGGCGCGCTTCTCTGTGATTGGATACTGCTTCCCCTTATAAGAGGTTGTTCCTGCCCCCAACGGGCGGAAGAGGAACCAACCTTGAGGGTGGCGGACCTTGTTAGGTCCGGTTCGCTGTACGCAATAAAGTTTGAGAGCTGATCCTGCTCGAGTTTGGCCTCCTGTCTTCCGCGGCTCCGGTCATCTGGTGGCCGCCCGTATGGGGAAAAAGGTAAAAGACTCAGCGACGTGCCTCTTCGGCCGGGAGGTGCGATTGCTGTCACCTGTGGTACGACGGAGGACCTGGCCCAATAACAACGGAAGGCCGCGAGCGCCTCTTCTCTTCACCCTGATCAGCTATGTGAGATACAGCGGTTCCTGGGACAGGTGAGTACTGGGTCACCTGGGTTGGGTGGACGCACCTAACAGATTTTGAGCGCCACACGAGTGGACGCTGGTTTTTTTTTTTTCTTTTCTTTTCCCTTTGCATCTGTTTTGCTTTCGCTTCGCTAATACAGCCTGACAGGCTTTTGATAGAGCTCGATCGGAATGCTCAGAGGAGCCCGGAGCCACTGCCGATTGTGGGTCTCCGGAGGACCCTCAGGGCTCTAATTCTGATTCTGATTCGGAAGGTTCAGAAGAGGAGGTCGTCTTCGCTAAACAGGACCCTCCTGCACAGCTTAAAGAGGAATTCAGGGCTCGGGAAGATAAAAGGGGGAACCAAACACCCACGATCACCCCCTTCAGGGCGCCAGGCCCCACTAAGCCCTTCCGCCCTTTGGCAAGTTCGCGAATTCAGGGCTCGGGAAGATAGCACCGCCGTGGCCGGAAGAGGAGTTGCTCCCTGGGCTGAGAGGGAGAGCTACTTCCTGGGTTGCCTTCTGCGCCCCCATCTGGGGAGGGAGGAGGACGTTCCTTCCACCAGAGGGTATGGTCGCGGCTTCCCTTTGAGTGTTCCGGTCTCCATGCATTCCCGGTACAAGTAGGAGGCAGGGGAGGAGGAGGATATTATGAGCCCTTAGAAATTAAACAACTTAAAACTATCAAGGACGCAGTTTCAGCTTATGGGCCCAATGCGCCATTTACCATGGCGCTTTTAGAGGCATTGGCAGGTCTGCTTTTAACTCCTGGAGATTGGACCCAGCTGGCACGCGCCTGCCTCTCCCCCGGACAATATTTAGATTGGAAGTCCTGGAATGAGGAATTCTGTGTAGAGCAGGCGGCAGCCAACAGGGAAAATAACCAGAGAGAGTGGAACAGGGATATGCTATTAGGGCGAGGAGCCTTTGAGGAAGATCAAACTCAATACCCTCGCCAGGTTTATGAACAAATTAGCCGCTGTGGCCTCCAGGCCTGGAGACGGCTGGCTGGAAAGGGAGAACATACGGGTCACCTTACAAAAATTATACAAGGGCAGGGAGAGCCATTTTCAGACTTTGTGGCCCGCATGCTTGAGGCCGCTAACAGGATTTTTCCAGATGCTGAGGCGGCTCACCCTCTCATAAAACAATTGATTTTTGAACAGTGCACTAAGGAGTGCCGTGATGTCCTAAGAACTAACAAAAATAGGTCCTTAGAAGAGTGGACACGCCTGTGCCGTGAATTGGGTGGCCACGGCCTAACGCCCAAAGGAAGAATATCATTGGCACTCTTTACCATAAATTTTTTAAACCTTAATCATCATAATCATTCCCCTGCCATGGAGCACAATAACCCGTCCCCGGCCGACAAAGGGCTGGTGAGATGGAAAGATGTCCTTACAGGACAATGGATGGGCCCGGATCCAGTGATTAGCTGGACCCGAGGTGCGGTTTGTGTCTTCCCACAGGAACCAGGCTGCGAACCGCTGTGGGTCCCGAAAAGATTGACGCGAGCAGTAAACTCCCCACCAGTTCCTGATAAAGCACAGGAGGATAAGCCCGCGGACACAAGTCAACTCGACCCTTCTGGGACCGACGCTCAGCGCCCGAGACCATCTACAAACTAAAATGTCTGGTTTGGAGCTTTTTCTATTCTGTGGGTTCCTATTAATCACCCCTGTGATATGCTCAGATTCCACAGAACCACCACAATATCTTTGGGGTCCTTGGCACCACCCGCCCACATTGGCACCTTTTTCGGCGGCCTCACCCGCCTCACCCAGGGTTTATCCTAGTAGGGCTTGTGGTTATCAAATGCTTGTTAGATCGCCTCATACAAACTCAGCAGCAGGTTAAGATCACAGCTATGGCAGCCATGCAAATGGCAGCAGGTGGCCCATCAGGCCAGCAGGCTGCCGCATATCTCCTTCACATTGCAGAACATCAGCTATAAGAGCTGAGTGGGCAAGCCAATGACGGGTAAGACGGGAAAAGCCCTCCCGGTCAACCTAAGACAGGCTCCACTCAGATATACATGGCCTATAAGGCCAGGGGTCCCTTCTGGAGTCAAATTATTGGCATTGAGATGTGAGACCAAGGGTACTGCAGTGCCATCCGCCTCAAAGGTTGGGGGGAAGGCAGGAATGAATGTCTATATGCATCCAGGTTCGGTTCACAAAAGCCTGGCCCTGCAAAAAAATGAACCACTCACCTTGAGCATGGTCCTGGCGCAAGGATATGCACAAAACAAGGTGATGCACAGCAGGGTATAGACCTCTACATTCTCTCATGCCTCGGCCTACAAGGTAGACCCACTCCTAGGTGTCTAACAGCAACAACGTCATAGACACCTTGGAGGGACCTACAGACCATCCTATTTTAATAAATAAAAAAGGGGGAGATGTGGGAAGCCGCCTATGAATGGCGCCCATTTCCTGCTTCCGGGTTCTTCCCGGCCTGAACAAGCCCGCCAAATTGTCATATCTGCCCAGTTACCCGTGATGCTAGCCTATCAGCTTGTTAGGCGCGCTTCTCTGTGATTGGATACTGCTTCCCCTTATAAGAGGTTGTTCCTGCCCCCAACGGGCGGAAGAGGAACCAACGTTGAGGGTGGCGGACCTTGTTAGGTCCGGTTCGCTGTACGCAATAAAGTTTGAGAGCTGATCCTGCTCGAGTTTGGCCTCCTGTCTCCCGCGGCTCCGGTCAGCTCCCGCAGCTGTAAAGCCAACACTGCTTCCTCCAGAGCCTTCACAGTGGCCCTGCTAATCCGCCTTACCAGGCAGAGGCTTTGGCCACCTGCCCTTGGCCTCCTCTCACAGCTGTGCCTGGGAATGTGCTCATCAGTTTGCAGTTGCCTCTGCAAAAGGGGAAAGGTGTTGGTGACTCATGCCCCTCCCAGGAGGGTGTGACCTGATGGTGAGGCCAAGTCCGATGGTTGAGCTACAGACAGCCCAGCCCCTCTCCCTTGTAAGCAGAGGCTGTCCCTTCCTTCTCATTCCAGCTCATTTTGGGGGATAGAGCTAACATCTTTGTCCCTGATTTATTTTCCCTTTTTTTTTTTTTTTTTTTGGTACCTGGGATGGAACTCACATTTGCCAGGTAGGCCCTTATGCCACTGAGCTAAATCCCCAGTCCCTTAGCCCCTGATTTCTAAGCACTTGTGCCCCATTGTGCTGGCAGGACAACACACACACACACACACACACACACACACACACACACACATATACACACCAAGGCCCCTGGAGCTGCCTGAGCTCAGGTAGCCCAAAAGGGAAGGCAGACACACAGGGACACTGGGTACCTGGCTGACCTCAAGTCCCCCAAGGGAATGACAGGTCTCGGTCACCCATTATCTACATGGCCAGGGAGCACCGCTGGTTTGAGGGCTCACAGGGCAGGAAAAAGGCAGGGCAAGGCTGGGGAGGAGTCCTGGTTCAGCACCACACCCAGTGAGGCCTGCAACCAGGGATGATGGCCCAGGTTATGCTGGTCCCCAGCATCACCATGGTAGGCAGGGACCCAGAACCTGGAGCCTTGGTGCTGATGCCGTGACCACCTCCAATCAGGTAGTGCAGGCCACTTCCAGGTATGCACACAGTGGGGGATAGGGGAAGGCCAGGTAGTGAACCCTGTAGCACGGGGCAAGGCTTCGAGTTGAGGAAACTGACACCATACTTTTCTGTTGGCAAGCTGAAGTTCAAGAGCTTCTCTTATAGTGCCTAGGCTTGCACCAGGAGCTTGGCATGCTACACTGCCAGCCCATGGCTTTTATTGTCTTGGTTGAGACAGGCTCTTCCTCTGTAACTCAGGATGTCCTTGAACTTAACAGCAATTCTCCTGCCTCAGCCTCCCAAGTGCTGAGGTTAAAGGTAAGCACCATCATGCCTGGCCCAAGGTTATTTCTATCAAAATGTGGTAATGCATATGGACACTTGTTTATTTTACCTTTGACATGGGACTCACCCCAGTTCTCTGGGCCACTGCAGTGGGGGCAGAGGAGAGCCTGGTAGCCCCCAGCCCTCACCTGACCTGCATATAGGGCCGGCTGGGCACTATCAGAGACTGACAGGCAGCTGTGTTTGCCTTTGTCCCACTTTCATGAGGCGCTCTCCTGACATCAGAACTCCACTAAATCTAAATCTGGCTGCAGCTCTTCAGATGTCAGAAACCCCACCCAGCTTTGTGGCTTGAAGTCATAGGCAGAGGCAACAACAGGTAATAAAATTTCAACTTTTAATTGGCCAATGTGTTCAATTCCAAGGTTGTGATGGAAATGCCTAAAGGGTGGTCAACATCTGACCCAGCACCCACAACCCTGGCTGTCTCCCAGCCTGAGAATCAGGGTCCTGGTCCCCAGGGCAGACCACAGGGTCACAGGGCAATATGCCCATGGCAGGCAGGACAGCAGGCTGGATGAGCGGCCCAAGATCAAGGAGGGGGAGGAGGGAGCTGTCCAGAGCCCTGTTGTGGGCCTCCTAGTCCGCTACCAGTGTCCACTCCTCCAGATGCAAGGGGCTATCCTGACTGTATCCAGAAGTCTCCATTTTACCAAAAAATGCAAGAGCCATGCTCACCCCGGGCACACTGGCACTGATGAATGGGGAGTGGTCATGTCCAGGCTAGATCCATCCCTCCTGACAGGAGACAGAAGACTGCAGGGAGGCCTGGCCAACGCAGAACAAATACCCTGACACTGAGAAGTATCTCAAAGTCCCACGGATGTAATCATTTTAAAGGGCCAGTACAGATCTCTCTAACAGGAAAGAGACATTACCAGTGTGAGATCTCAAACATTTTAGCAAGCACTTGGGACAAAAACCATGTACAAAAAAGTACACCACAATTTTAAAAAAATAGCCCAGCAAGATGGACTGGCCAGAAGATAAATCCCTTTCCAAAAATTGAAAAGCAAAAGGAAGAGACGAGGCCGAGTTTCCCTGTGTGAGGACGAGTGTGGCTGTGGGAGGGCCCCGGCTCTTCAGTGGCGCCCTCCTCGGGTGAGGTCGGCTGAGGTGCTGGGCTGCAGCCCGGGTCTGTTTCCAATCACAGTTCATCTTTCACAGCTTTCTGGTCGTCATCTTCCTCCATGTCTGGCTCTTCCGCTTCTTCGAGGTCCAGGTCCTGGGTGTAGGAAGGAAGTGCCAGGTCCACCCAAGTATCCTCCCTCAGCCCCTCATGCCCGCCTGCTCCTCTCTACCACAGGGACACTTTCTCCACTACCTGCCTACGGTGTGGTCAACACCAGCTGCCACTCTCACCCCTCCTCCTGACCTGCCCTCCCATCCTCTCATGGTACAGTTGGCTGCGTGTTATCGCTGGAATCTCTGAAGGGTTCCCATCGCTCGCCTGGCGTAACCACTGCCACCAGTGTTACTGGCCACATGCTGACTGACGCAGGCAGCCTGAGCACCGTGGCCCGGCCTTGACAGTGATAGTGTGAAGTCTCATCCCCAGAATGGAGATGGGCTTTAGCCACAGCTGGACACTGGACTCCATGTCTGCAGGACATGAGAACTGTGGCACTCATCTGAAACTTTCAAAGCCAAGACTGGCTTTTAATGATGTCTTCCGCTGTATGTGGCAGCACACTCCTATGATCCCACACTGGAAGACTGGGGCAGGAGGATCATAAATTTGAACCCAGTCCTGGCAATTTAGAGACTCAGTGAGACCCAGTTCTCAAAATAAAAAAAAAGAGCAAGGGTGTAGCTCAGCACCAAGGCCCTGGGTCAGTATTGGCCCCAAATACCTACAAAATCCCTCCCTGAAAATCACTGCTGGGGGACAGGGAATGAGATGGGGCATCTTGAGCGTGTCCCTTGGCTTCATGGGCGCTGATCCAAAGCTGCACTGCCACGGCCCACCCACCACCAAGCAAGGCAGAGCCCAGTCAGTGCTCACATCATCGTCCCCTGCACCCTCCTGGCCACCGCTCTCCAAGAACTTCTTAAAGCCTTCCAGTGTCCGCTCTCCGTTGTAGTCAATGACCTGTGGGGAACAACTGGTGAGGGCGCTAAACTGGGCAGCAGCTTTCCTCCCTGAGTGCACCCTGGCCCCTCCGGCCCCTCCGACCCTTGCCCCAGGGTCTGGGAAGAGTGGGCCCTGAGCAGTGCTCACCGTTCTGTCGGTGCTGGCAGGGAAGAACTTCACAGTAGGGAAGCTGTGCACTTTGACAGCCTCCACTTCGTTGGCAGTCGAGTCCATCTTGGCGATGACAATATTCTCATGGTCCTTATAGGTCTCTCCCAGCTTATCCCAGATGGGGGCCAGCTGCTTGCAGTGACCGCACCACGGCGCATCTGGGAAGAAAGCAGTGCTGAGGCTCCCTCCTGGAAATCTGCACTGAGTTGTTCACTCTGTGGCCGCCCCAGAGAAGCGGTCACCTTGGAAGCTGGGGATACTCTACTCACAGAATTCCACAAAGACATTCTTTTTCTCATCAAAAGCAACCTCTTCAAAGTTCTTCCCCACTAGCACTTTGACAGGCTGCTTGTCCCAATCTTCAGGCAACTCCTGGCTCATCAGGTGGGGCTGGAAGGCAGACAGACACACGAGGTAAGGGCCACACACACGTCGGAGCCCTGGCATGGCTTCGGCACACACTGTCCTCTGGAAGTCGGCACAACTGATCGTGCCAGGGCCTGGTGAGGTCGGCCCAAGGAGAGATTAGATGGTAGCCTGAGGGTACCTGGGTGCACTGCTGGGCGAGCAGCCCCGGAGGCCCTCCACAAGGTGAGCACCTGGCTGGCCTGAGCCAGGCCTACCAACGCACCTTAATCTTGCCCTCTAGGAAGTGCTGGCAAAACTCTGTGATTTTCTCAGCTGTTAGCTCATCTGACTCAGGTTTGTACTTGGTCATCTCCTCTTCCAGGGTGATGAGCCGCACAGCTGGGCACTCCTCCTTCTTCAGCCCAAAGAACTCGAGAATGCGCTGGTTGTCAGTGTGGTCGCTGTCGATGAAGATAAACAGGATCTTGGGGAGAAAAGGTACACTGAGACAGAGCCACGACAGCTCCCACTCCCAAGCAGGCCCAGGGCCCTGGGGCTGCCTGCCAGAGCTGAGGTGGGCCTGGTGGATGCCCCAGTGCCAAGATCCCCCAACGGAGAACAGGGCTTTCAGTCTCTCCACCTGCAGCTGGGCCTACCCAGCGGGGTGCCCACCTTGCCCTTGAAGCCCTCTGCTGCTTTCTTGAAGTTGCTTAGTTTGCTATCGTAGTCAGACACACTCTTGGGCAGGAAGAGCAGGATGTGAGTCTTGATTTCACCCCCAAAAATCTTCGGGGCTGTCTACGTTACAAACAGAAGTTTCTGTGTCAGAGCCATAAACTAAGCCTGGACAGACTAGAGTCCCATTGGCCCCAAGACTGCCAGACACCTGGAAGATAGTGTAGCTGGGCTCAGGATAGCCATACCTGCTCAGTGAACTCGATGACCAGGGGCAGCTGGTTGTGCTTGATGAAGTCCAGCAAGTTCTCTTTGGTGACCTCCCCTTCAAAGTTGTTCCGGCCTTCATCAAACTGTGGGCAGAACAGGTGCTGTGAGCAAGCCCTGCAGGCACCCTGTCCTGGCTCCAGCCATCACCCCGCAGCCATCACCAAGTCCAGAAAGTTTCATGCCTACAGCTCAAACCTGGTGGCTCCTGGCCTGCCAGTCACTCCAAATTCAGAAGTCCCAGGTGTGCCTGGGTCCTGCTCCTGCCTGTCTCTCCACAGAACCCCACCAGCCAGGGTAGGCGGGGGCACTGGGGGGACAGCCTGCTCCACTGCAGTCTACAGAGCAGACCAAGGCATCCATCACAGGTGAGAGCAACTCTGCTCACAAGCCTGAGAGCCTCACATGCTCAGTCAGGCCTTGTGAACATCACCTTTCTCATCTCCAGGCTCCTGAAACAGCAGCTTGCAACATAGAGCCCATGCTCACACCTGGGACCCTGGATCCTCTTGGGGCCCTTGCAGGGCAGCACTTGCACAACTAGCTGCTTTGACATTCCCCGCTGCTGGTGTCCTGTTTCAATGTTGCTGAGCTGCACACACGCATGCACACACACTCGCACACACTGAGATTTAGAATCACATTTGCAGGTGAGAGTCTGAGGCTACAGGGTGCAGAACAGCTACCTGGGGACGGTGGCAAGAGAGGCTGAAGAGGGCTAGAATCCAGGGTGGCCTCAGCTCAGAGGGAGGAACACAACAGGTCCTGACACAGAGGCAGTTCCTGTGCCCCACACTTTTCAGGTGGGAATGCTGGGTAAGTACTCACTGCTCCCAGAAACTTCTAAAAAGGGATTAGATGTGGTGGCGCCCACCTGCCATCCCAGCACTTGGGAGGCTGAGGCAAGACCCTGTCTCAAAATGAAAAAAGAAGACTGGAGACACTGCTTGGCAGTACAGTGCCCCTGGGTTCCATTCCTAGCCCTGTAGGTAAGTGATTTGTCATCTACACAAAACCTGCCACCTCCCCCAGTGTTCCGTAAGTCACTCCCAAGCAATGCATAATAATACTTAACAGTGTGGATGGCACACCAATAGTCATCGTACTGCAGTGCTTAGAGAATGGAAGAGATGGCTGCAGCTATGGCGTGTGCTACATCCCTTCCCTTTTTGATTCTGAGACAAGGTCTCCCTAAGTTGCCCAGGCTGGACTTGAACTTGCAACCCTCCTGCCTTGGGCTCCTGAGTGCTGGGACCACAGGTGTGCATGAGCACACCAGTGTCCTGGCTGTGTGCAAGCTGGCCGGGTCTGAGGGTATGGAAGACCGGTTACACTCTCCTTATCAGCCACATTCCTTTAGGATTCCCAAGGTAATAGGAAGGGCCGCCGCCTGGGGGTTAGACCCCCTGGGGGCCCCTTCCAGCTCCCACAGTGGTGCACATCCAGCGGAGACCTGTGCCCTGACCTCCCAACCCAGTGTAGTGCGAGAGCTAGGACGAGCCCAGGGTTGGGAGCTACTCCCTGCCCAACCCCAGAGGCTTCCAGGCCCACTCTGTCTTCTCAAACAAGCCAATGTGCAAATGCGGAACAAATAATGTCATGGGAAGATAAGGCCAAGAGATCCTTTGAGAGAATCATTTGGAAAATGCTAGTGGACGCCCGTGCTCGGCAGGGGCACAAGCTCATGCTTCCTCACTGTGACTCTAAATGCCACATTCAATATGCCACAGCCCTTCCCTGGGAAGTGATGTTCTGTCCCACCAGGGGACCAGGCATCATCTGCACAAGCTGATGCTGAGTGCTAGCCAGGCGCTGATTTCCCTGTGATGCAGCCACGTGGACTCACTATCTCCCTTGGTAAATCCAGCTCCCATTTAGTGCGGGACAGTGGCGGAAAGCGTGACCACTGTGGCTCTGCCCCTGGACAGCAGCCCTGCCAGGTCATGGTGAAACAGGCCTGACTCTGCAGGCTGGTGGAGGGACACAGTCTCATCCTCACTCCTACGTCCCCAAAGAGAAAAAAGTGAAATCAACATGAGAATAAAGATACAGGACCATTAGCGCTGAAACCAATGGCCTTGTCATGTGGCGCTACTCTACTGGTCGCCCCTGCCACCCGCCGTCCTCTAGGGAATAAGGCAGAAGCAGCTGACCTGCCTTGGCCCCACTGGGGAAGCACCTGGTGCTGCCAGGCTGCTTGGGATAGCTCCCAGGCAGACAGGAAGACCGGGCTCAAGTGGTAGAAGTGGGTTTAACATCTGAAGGAAGCGGAACAGGCAAAGAGTGAGTCAATGGAGAAGCAGAAGTCTAGTACAATTGCAGTTGGAGCTCCTCCGACTTCAGACCTGTCCTCTGCTTACCCACATAGCAGCCACACTCTAATCATCACATACGCCTGAGCTGCTCTAATTAGGCCAGAAAGAGCCACGCACTAACCAGCACCAGACATGAGGGCAGTGCCCAGCCCTGAGTGGACACAAGAGAGCTGAGGCAAGAAAAAAATCCCACACAGAAGTCCTGAGTGGTGGTGCGCACTTAGGAGGCTGAGGCAAGAGGATTGAGTCCAGAAATGGAGGCCAGTCACATACCAACAGCCCGAACAGATGATCTACCACGCAGTCTGTTCTGTGAAGACAGGAGCGAGAAATGACCCTTCTCATTTGTAAGGACATGTGATGGCTAAGACTGGCCTTCCAGCATTAAGCTGGTCACCAAGGCACAGGGCAAGGGGCAGCCTGTGGACTGGACTGAAGTGGGCTTCACAGGTTTCCACAGAGAACTTCTCTCAGAACCTCCATTTTATGAAACTTGGGACTTTCTGACACCCTGAAATATCTCTGCCCAGTGCTTCCCTGTTCTCTAGTCAAGTGTTGCATTCAGTCAGAGCTCTGGGTAGCTTAGCAATCCCGGCCCTTCTGGTACCACAGTGAGAGCTGCTGCTGAGAAAGACAGCAGGGTGGCTGAAGCCCTTCTGAGGAAGGGACCGGAGAATCAGCCAGGCCAGGACACAGGGTAGCTGCAGAGCCCAGACCTCCACGCCCTCAGCCATGTCAGCACTCACTCTGTGGCACTAAGTCATCCCTCACCTTGGAGTCACTTGGCCCTCGCCCATACAGCCACTGCCGAGGCACAGTGCATACACACCTACCCCTCAGCAGACGGCCCCTCCCGCAATCTCAGGTGCTCTGTGCACAACCCTCCTGCCTCTGCAACAGACCAGGTCAGCACCCCAAGGCCCTACCCCAGCCCAGGCACACTGCCCTGCTCCTGATCCCCAGTCCTCCCTTGGATACCTTGTCACCTGTACGACAAGGTCCATGAGCACCTTGTCCAGGTACAAAGGTCCCATGGACCCCAGCCCCAGCCCTGCTAATTGATATGACAAGCCCGAAGGCTGCTTGCACAGCTGGGAGGCTGCTATGTTCCCATAACAGGGAAGTGGGTCCAAAGAAGAAACACAACTTGGCAGGGTCGGCGGTTTTCAAGGTGGGAGGCACAGGACACATGGCTCTGCTGTTAGGGAACCCCTACCCTGAGAGCTAATGTTCCAGAGCTACCGTCTGGGGCAAGGAAAAAGTTCTGGGAACACACAGAAGTGATCACATGGCCCTGTGACAGTTAAGTAATGCCACCAAATGGGACACTGCCATGAGTTCTTGGCCAGCCCGGGCTCCGCCGTGAGTTCAAGGGCAGCCTGAATCACACATTGAGTCCCTGTCTCAAACCTGCCCCCAAATGACAACAACCAACACTGTTATGTGTCTTGCCACAACTGAAAAGTGAATCCGGGAGCTGGATACAGTGGCGCATGCCTGCAATCCCAGCACTCTGCAAGGCTAAGGCAGGAAGATTGCAAATTCCAGCCTAGCCCGGACAACTTAGCAAGACTATGCATCAAAATAGAGAAGCTTAGGAAACCAAAAATCCCATGGACTCCAAGTTCAGAAATCCATTCATGAGTTGTTCCTACCCAATATGACTTATGAAGCCACAGGGACCCTGATAAACATCACACCAGCCCAGAGCCAAGGGTCAAGGTCCCTTGGAGATAAGGGAAGGTTTTACCCCACCTAGTCCACAGCTGACAGGCAGCTGACCTTCCATGAGCCACTCACCTTCTTAAAGAGGACCACCCCATCTTTGTCAAGCTGGTATGTGGAGAACACATTACTGTTGGATGTTATCCCAAAAGGTATGTCATCAATAGCTTCTGCTGCCAGCAAGAACTCCTTGGCAAGGTCTGACTCTACATCCTGGAAGAGGAAGGGAAACCACACCCCAACACTGAGGAGCTGTACACCCCAACACTGAGGAGCCTCCCACCCCGGATGGCAGGGCAGACACTGCAGTGCCCAGGCTGTAGGCCCTCTGCCGGCACAATGACAACAAAGCAATGACGTTGCAACACCCTACCTTGAAGAAGCCGATGACAACCACCTCACTGGACTCCACCAAGGACTCTGCAGCTGCAGTATCCAACAGGGTGGTGGCAGCGGGGCCAGTGCGCTTCTTCAGCCAGTTCACAATGTCATCAGCTTCTCTGCCAGCTGCACCTCGGACAGATGCAAGTCCCACAGTCTGACAGTGTGCTGCATACTCTGCCTGCAACTCTCCTCTGGGCCCTACTCTGTGGGCTAAGGACCCCAGCCACACATGAAGATGTTTTCCCCACAGGCAGCCTGGAGGCTGGCTGGCTGCTCCTGCTCCAGCACAGGAGGCAGCAGCTGAGCTTAAAGGAGAAAGATCTGGGTGTGGGGGCACATGCCTGTGATCCCAGCTTGGATCTTCAGTTGGGAGCCTCAGGAAGGCAAAGCGCGAGTCAGCCTGAGCAACTTAGATCCTACTTCACAACAGAATCTAACAAAGGACTAGAGGTCTGGGTCAGTGGTAGAGAGCTTGCCTGGCAGCATGCAGGAAGCTCTGGATTCAAACCCCAGCACCACAAAGGAGGGGGAGTCACATCAGTTCTCCCATTCAGACCCTGCCAGACACCCGTGGGCCAGGGCCTGCCCTACCATCTCTTTCACTGATGGGAAGCAAGGAAGGATGGCGTACATATACAACATCCACAGAGGGAAAAGAAGCCTGCTTCCTCCAGAAAGCAGAGGCCAGTGAAACCAATCTTTCCTCCCCTCCTGGGGTGTGACTGCCTTGGGCCAACCTCAGAAGGGAGGCCCAACCCAGTATCACCATGGAGAACTACATTAACTATAGACAAGAACTACAAACTATAGACAACTATAGACAAGGCAGGGCCCATTCTAAGTGAACACATGCAAAAAGTGCAGACTGCAGACAGCCTAGTAAGGCAACCAGCTTAGGACAAAGCCACTCAAGAGGTCTCATTTGCCAGCACTGGGCTGGGCTGGTTACAGATCACCAAGCACATGGGTCTGACTGATACTCCAGGGAACTGGTTTAAAGGCAGAGAAATCCTCTTCCGGCACCAGTGACTGCTTTGGCTATAATAGGGCCAACCTCCGTGGAAACTGCTTTGAGGTGTGTGAGTGGCAGCTGAGGATTTAGATTTGGGGTCTGCCACTGTGATCCTGTCATTGCCTACAGAGGGCCCTCACTACAGAGCTATCCAATGGGAGATCACGAGTGCCAGGTGTACTGGCACACATCTGCAATCCTCAATACTCGGGAGGCTGAGGGAAGTGGACAACAAGTTTGAGGCCAGCCTAGGAATTTAATGAGACTGTCTCAGAACTAAAACCAAGCTGGCCATGGTGATACCATGCAATTTCAGCACTAAGGAGGCCGGGGAAGGAGAACTACCATGAGTTTGAGGCCAGACTGGACTACACAGAAAAACTATGTCTAAAAAAAAAATAACAACAACAAAAAAAAAGGGCTGGGGATATAGCTCAGTGGCATAGCCTGGTAAGTGCAACGTCGTAAGTTCGATTCCCAGTACCAAAAAAACAAACAAACAAAAAAAAGAAATGAAACAGGTGTTTGGCTTAGTGGATGGCACACTACATTCCATAGTTCACAAGTGTCAGCTAGATATTTGGGCTTACAGAGCAAGCAGTGCAAGCCTGTAATCTCAGTAACAAAAGGCTGAGGCAAGAGGATTCTCACAAGTTCGAAGCCAGCCTGTGCTACCTAGTGAGTTTAAGGTCAGCCTGAATTACATAGCAAGACCCTATCTACCCTGTCTCAAAAAACCAACAACAACAAAGGAAAGTAAACAAAAATCTAGCTGCAAATGCAGTTTCCTCCACACCACTGAAAGCGGACCCCTACCTGTTGGATACACTACTGGCAGAGCTTTCAGTTGAGTCAGCTTCAGAGGCCTACAGGCAAATCCCTCTGCAAAAACAATTACAGGGCAGTACTGCAGTCACCTGTATACTCCTTGGGAGAGGCACTGTCTCCATTCTTGAAGAACTTGATTGTGGGGTAGCCACGGACGCCATACTGCTGGGCCAGATCAGACTCTTCAGTGGCGTCCACCTTCGCCAGCCGGATTTCGGAACCTTCTGCCTTCAGCTTTCCAGCTGCTTTGGCATATTCTGGGGCCAATGCTTTACAGTGGCCACACCAAGGGGCATCTGGAAAAGAAAACAAGTGAAACACCGAAAGAGCAGCCCTTGATCCAGTTCCATGGCTTCCCTTTCTTTCTCTTTCATAAAAACCTTATCTGTGCACAAGATAACTCCTGGTAAGGAACTAAGCTGAGCTGATAGCTGGCGCCCTCAGGCAGTATCAGGACAGAGGCCACCAGTGACAAACTAACCCCTACTCTAAAACTAACCCACCACTCTGCTGTCACCAGCAGAACAGGAGACAAATCCTCTAACCAAAGTAACTTTCTATTATCTGCAAGTAAACTTGGCTAGTCAGTCCCTAGGACTTTCCTTTAAGAATTCAGGGAAAGTTGAAGGGTTGGTGCCCAGCTCACACCCAGCAAGTACGCCCTGTGCATCCCTGAACAAGCTAGAACTGTTCAAAGTGTAGAGACAATCTGTGTTAGCAGCGGTGTTGGGTATGACTCCCACCCGAGAGAGCTGGAGCTCAAATACTGTAGACATAATCAAAAGGCTTCCAGCTCTGGATTGCCTGAGGCCGGGAGAGCATGGCAGGTTAAAGGTGGTGAGAGTAAGGGCAGGGCGTTTTTGGATCTGCCCCGATTAGTAACTAGCAGGGCCAGACTGTCGCTTGTTCTCCTATCTGCTGTAGCTCACACATGCCCACCCTGTTTCTCCTACGCTAACAAGAGGGATCGTGCCATGTGGACGGCGGGCACAAAGGCACCTCCCTGGCTTGCAGCCCGGCAGGCACACACAGCCCGTCTACACAGCCAGGACGCCCCTGGGATAACAATCGGTGCACTATCCAGAGGAAGCTCGGACCGATCCAGGCCGTTCTGACGAGGCCAACCAGGGCGGAGGGTTGGCGCGTCCAGAAGGGCCTCGGCCGTACGCCGGCAGTGCTGGGCGGCGGGAAGGTGGTCTGCGGGGCGGCGCCCGCCCGCCAGGCCCGCTGCGCACTCACAGAACTCCACCAGCAGGTACTTGTGCGCCGCCAGCGCCTCCGCGAAGTTGCTCTTCTTTAGCACAAGGACGTGGTCCTCCTCCTCGAGAGCGTCGGCATTCACTCGGGCCGCCGCGGCCAGGGCCAGGCACAACAGAGTACGGCTCAGCATGTCGGACGTCGAGCGCGTAGCGCGGGCGGGGCAGTCCAGTTGGTGCCGCCGGGACGGTGGGGGCGTCGAGAGCGCGCACCGGTCACGGCCTCGCCTTTATAAATCCTGTACGGAGGGCGCGCGCGCTCACTGCCCGCCGCGCGCACGCGCCCTCGGGGACTCGCCGATTGGTCAGTGGACTGTGGGTCCTTCCCCCACCACACTCAGATTGGATACCCAAGCTAGGCCCCGCCCAAGAGTCGGAATCGCTGCAGAGGCCTCTTCCCCCTCGCTCAGGATTGGTTGGGGCGCTCGCGCTTGCTCTCTTCTCTTCTCCCTAATTGGTGTCTGGAAGAGAACTTTTTCTCCTTCAACTTCTGACTGGTGGTTTCCTTCCACACCTTCCGCAGATATGGAATGGCTAATGCTTTCGGCTGTCAGTTCTCCGAGACCTCTGATTGGCCCCGAGGTGCGCGCGCCCTGTGTTCCTTCGTCGAACGTGGCAGTGGGACGGAGTCCCCCAACCGAGGGGCGGGTTTACGCCTGCGCCTCTGTAACCCCTCGTGTTGCTTTCTTACTGGACCGCGTATCCTCAGTTGGCACCGCCTCCTCAGGCCGGAAGCCAGGTTGACGCAACTTCCGGTGCGCGTGCGGCCCGTGCGGTGCTTGCAGGGAGTGGTGGCCCACCTACAGTCTCTTCCAGGCCATCGCGGGAGACCGCTCGGGTGTCAGCCACGCGTGAGTTCTGGCTGTGACTGCCGGACCTATCAGGGGCACGCAGGTGACAATCGCCGGCGATGGCCCACATTCGCGCTTTGCGCGGTCTCCATCCTGAGGCAGGCCGAAAGTGGCTGTCGGTGGAATGCACAGCACTGTAGCGTTAGCGACCACGCTGGCCGCCTGTGAAATGATCATTTATGTGCTTTGGGTTAAGTCGGCTTTATTTATTATTATTATTTTACATGGCTTCCCGAAACTTTAAAATGACATAGGAGGTTACGTTTTCTGTTAAACTTCCCAGACCTTCACTGCCCAGCTCTGCCACCACCTCTGCCTGCCCCGCTTTTCCACCAGTTCTCCGGACATCTTACTCCTCCGGTTCTTTTCCATGAGCACATGCAAAGGCACACGTGATCTTTAAACCTGTGTAGAAAGCAAACCCTCTATGTTAAAGTACACGTTGATTGTTAACATCCTGATCTCAGAAATAGTAAAATATATAAGATAAAGATTCTCTTGTGCTTTTTTGTCTGTTTTGTTTCTTTGTTTTTTGAACCAGGGATCGAACTCACAACCTAGCGTTTTCCAGGCAGGTGATTATTCCTTAAGCCGCTGAGCTAAATCCTCACCACTGTTTTTGTTTCTGACAGTTTCAATCCACCTACATCAGCCTCCCAAGTGCTAGGATTACAGGCCTATGCCACTACTCGTGGCTGCTTCTGTACTTTTGAGAATATTTTTTGAGATACAGTTTTTTTGTTTTGTTTTGTTTTGTTTTTGAGATAGGATCTCACAATGCAGTTCAGGCTGGGCTTGAACTCTGTAGTACGTGCTGGCCTTGCACTTGCAGCAATCAGCCTGTGGAGTGCTGGGATCATGGGCATGTGCCACCATGCTTGTTGAGATACTCTTGAAAGCGGTCATCTCACTTTTCCTTCGTTGTCACTCCCTACATTTTTAGAGTAAGAACTTATTATTTCCCAAGTTGCCAGCTCTGTGCCCCATCTCCATCCCTTTGCCAGTAGACAAAGGATCAGATAATGTGGCTGTTGACATCTGGGAGAATTGCCTGCTTTCCATGAGTAATTTCACAGACCTACAAAAGCCGAAAAGTGGCATTTCCCCTTGCCCCCAGATCAGCTCAGCCAGAGCTTGGGCAGGTGCTTGCCACTAACTGCCACTAGCTGCCTCTAGGCAGCTCTTTGATTGCCCGATCCTGCCCTTGGTTCGGGTGGAGATTGCTTCAGGTTTGTGGCACTATCTCCCAACGTTTTTGTGGTTATCTTGACCTGTTTTACAAACAACAATCTGTTGCCCAAGACAAGACTTTTGAACCATGTGTAGGTATAGGAGATGTTTTAAGAGTTCAAATGACAAGGTAGCCCAAGCCTGTAATCAATCTCAGCACCCCGGAGGCTGAGACAGGAGAATCGATTTGAGTTACGAGGCCAGCCTGGGTTACATAGTAGTTCAAGGTCAGCCTGAAGTGTATTGTGAAACCCTGTCTCTGACAAAAACAGAGGTGAGAAAGCTGGGTGTTGAGTGCCTGTAGTCTCAGCACTTGGGACACTGAGGCAGTTGGATCACCACAAGTTCAAGGTCACCCTCAACTGCCTAACAAGACTATCTCAAAAAACAAAACAGTTTAGATTACAAAATACTGAGGCCTGGTTTCTGTCCACTAATGGTAAAAAACTAAAGGATTGAGTTACTATAATGTTGATCTGTGTTTGAAAAGTGTTCACAGGGGTTGGGGATTTAGCTCAGCGGCATAAACACCTGCCTTGAATTCGTGAGTTCGATCCCTGGTACCGATAAAAAAGACAAAAAAAAAAAAGTGTTCACACCACATAGAACATGTAGGTACACAGAGCACACAAGAATCCAAGCAGCTGGAATTTCTCAGATTGGCTCTGGGCTGTTGGTGACTGACACTGAGGGTAGCTGGGATGCCATACAGACAATTGCCCTGCCAGGGCACCAAGGGGTGCGCCACTGTTCTGTGGTCCAGGTGGCTGATTTTTTTTTTTTTTTCTTTTTTTGGTACTAGGGATAGAACTCACAACCTTGTGCTTGTCAGGCAATCCCTTATACCCCTGAGCTAAATCCTGAGCTCAGCCAAGCTGATTTTCTGTGAAAATGAGGACATCCAACCACAGTCCAGCCTGAATGAGCTCAGTGGCTGCAGTACTTCTACTCTTCCTGAATGAGGTTCCCAAACCTACCCAAGCAGACGGCAAAGTCAGCTGATGGCCTTGAGAGGTCCTCAGCCCGAGTGCACTGGGTAAGACAGAGAGTGCTTCCTTCACCCAGGAATGTAGGGTGGAACAGGGAATAGCTGAGGGCCTCCACCCTGAGAGGAATACCTTGTCTGGGTGGCCTGGGGGAGAGGGCCTGGCCTCTCTTCCTTCTCAGGCTTTCTAGGAGCCTTGGGGGACAAGGGCCACCATATGTCTCTGATGAGTGTTTCTCTGACCATCACAGATGCTTTAGGACAACAGTCCCCAGCCTTTGTGGGAACAGGGACCAGTTTCGTGGAAGACAATGTTTCCATAGATTGGGGGTGGGTTCAGGTGTCAGAGGTCACATGTAGTTCACAGGTGGTCTGTTAGGAGCGGAGCTCAGGCAGCAAAGCCAGTGCTGGGTCGGTACAGTACAGTCGGAGGGTCACTCACTACCCACTGCTCACCTGCTACTGTGTGGCCTAGTTTCTAATGGGCTGTAGACCAGCACCAGTCCCGGGGGTGGGGACGCCTGCTAGGCTTAGCAAGAGTGTGCATATGGCTTAAGCTGCTGTGTAATCAAGTTTTTTATTTTTTACTTTATTATATTACTATTATTTTGGTCTTTTTGAGACAGGGTCTTGTAACACAGTTTAGGCTGGCCTTGGGCTCACTTTGTAGCCCAGGCCAGTCTCCAACTTGCAAAAAATTCTTCTGCTTCAGCTTCCAAGTGCTGGGATTACAGGAGTGTGCCACCACACCTAGTCTGTTTTGTTTTTGTTATTTTTGTGTAGGGAATTTTTTTTTTTTTTTGGTCTTTTTTGAAACAGGGTCTCGCTGTGCAGTTCAGGCTGGGCTTCAGCTCACTTTGTAGCCCAGGCTGGTCTCAAACTCACAACCATCCTCCTCCTCCTACCTCAGCCTCCCGAGTGCTGGGATTACAGGCATGAGCCACCATGCCTGGCTTGAATAGGGAATTGAACTCAGGACCTGGTGCTTGCCAGGCAGACACTTATGCTGCTGAGCTAAATCCCCCGGCTTTTGCCAGATACAGACCTTTTTTTTGGTACCAGAATTCAAACTCATGACCTCACACTTGCCAGGCAGGTGCTTACAACCACTGAGCTAAATCCCCAGCCTTGATGTTGAACAATTTTTCACATTTTTATTTCTGTTTGTATTTCTCCATCTAAGAAGGGTGTATTTATCTCAGATGCCCATTTTTGGACTGGGTCATTAAATCTAGGAGGATTGATTTTTTTGAGTTCTTTATGTGTTCTCTATAGTAATTCTTTGAGGAACAGCTGGCAAACATTTTCTCCCACATTGTAGGTTGTCTCTTCATGCTGTTGGTGGTTTTTCTTGCTTTGGGAAAACTTTTTAGCAGGGTAAGATCTCATTGTTGATTCTTTGTGATAGTTTCTGTGCAGTCAGAGGTTTGTTTTTGTTTTTTTTTGTCTTTTTCCTTTTTATAGGTACCAGGGATTGAACTCATGACTGCCTGCTTGCAAGGCAGGCACTTGCGCCGCTGAGCTAAACCTCCAGCCCCACAGTCAGAGTTTTGTTCATGAAATTTTCACCTACACCAATGTCTTCAAGAGTTTTGCCTACTCTCTCTTCCAGCAGACCTGATGTTTCTGTTTTATTATTAAAATCTTTGATCCATTCTGATTTTAGTGAAATCAGAATGGATTTCACTACAGGTGAAAGATACAGGTCCAGTTTTAATCTCACACATGTGTGGAGCCAGTTTTTTCCAGCACCGTTTATTAAAGAGGCTGTCTTCCAGTGGCGTCTTTGTCAGAGATAATGTGGCTGGGTGTGTCTGGAGGTGTCTGGGTTTTTTTTTGCCAGTACCATGCTGGTTTTTTGTTTGTTTGTTTGTTTTGGTCTTTTTCCTTTTTATTGGTACTGGGGATCGAACTCACGACTGCCTGCTTGCAAGGAAGGTGCTTATGCCGCTGAGCTAAATCTCCAGCCCCCTTTTTGTTTGTTTTTTTTTGAGACAGGATCTCACTGTGCAGTTCAGGTTGGCCCTGAACTGTGTGCCTGGGCTGGCCCTTAATGAACTCACAATAATCCTCTTTCCTCAATTTCCCCCAATGCTGGGAATACAGGTGTGTGCCACCACACTCGCACACATATTTGTTTTTAAAAATTACAGTAGCTTTATTTTATTTATTTATTTTGGTACCAGGTGTCAAGCTCACAACCTCACACTTGCCAAGCAGGTACGTATGCCGCTGAGCTGTATCCCTGGCCCAGTAGCTTTATAATATAATTTCAGGTCAGAGGTTATGATGCCCCCTGTCTTGTCTTTGTTGCCCAGGATTGCCTCGCTATTCTAGGCTTCTTCTAGTTCCAGATGGGTTTTAGGATTGTTTTCTCTAATTCTGTGAGATGTGCTATGGGAATTTTGATTGGGATTGCAATAAATCTGTATAACAGTTTTGGAAGTATGGCCATTTTCACTATATTGGTTCTTCCTACCCAAGAGCATGAGATCTCTCCATTTTCTAGCATCTCCTTCAATCTTCTTTGTGAGAGTATTGTAGTTTTCAATATAGAGGTCTTTTGCCTCCTTTGTTAGGTTGATTCTTAGGTATTTCACCAAATAGTGTTTTCAAGGCCAGCTTGAGCTACATAACATCACCCTATGTCAAAAACAAAACAGTGTTTTTATCTAGCCTGGTAGTACACAATAGAATCCCAGCTACTCTGGAGGCTGAGACAGAAGAATTACAAGTTTGAGACCAGCCTGGGCTATTTATCAAGACCTTGTTTCAAAGTAAATTTATTTGTTTAGTTAGTCTCTTTTCCCCCCCGAGAGACAGGGTCTCACTATGCAGTTCAGGCTGGCCTTGAGCTCACTTTGTAGCCCAGGTTGGTCTTGAACTCACAATGATCCTCTTGCTTCAGTCTCCCCAGTGTTTGGATTATAGGCATGTGTCACCATGCCTAGCTTCAAATTTCTGGATTTAATTCCCAGAATTCCCCACACACTAAATTAAATTATAATTAAGAAAAAAAGGTGGGAACATAGTTGTGCAGTTCAGTGGTAAAGCATTTGCCTAGCATATGTAAGGCCTAGTTTAAATCCTAGAACAAAAAAAAGTTCTCAGAACAAAATGACTCCTTTTCAGCCAGGGATCTTATCAGAGGTGGCACGTGACAGTAGAGAGGGGGGTGGCAGCAGACTCTACTGGAGAGTGCCAGGCAGTGGTGTGGAGCATGGGAGAGGACCCTGGGTTGTAGTGCAGCATGGTGTTGGGCAGAGAAGGTTCCTGTGTGTCGACACAGTTAGTGATCACTGTCACATCACAGATCCGGACAGCTCCTTGCATGCTTTAGCTTCTGCCTGTTATTCTCCTGGGAGGAAGAACACCCTGGGCCGGAATGGAGGAAGAGGTAGCTTGGGGAGGATGAGAGCCACAGCCCGAGGAAGCTGGGTGGAGAGGACCCAGCCCTGACTGAGCAGGCAACTCAAGCTGCACAAACAGGTCAGAGGGGGACTAGGAAGATCAGATGAGACTTAGGACCCGAAGGACACGTCACAAACCTTCTACAGGTGCCATCTGGGTGGGGCAGGGGCAAAGTCCTGGCTGTTGGCTGTGTGCCTGCACTCAGGGCATGACCTGGCACTCAGGGTCCGAGTTCATGCGTGTGATAGGCTGGGAAAATCCGAGTGAAAAGATTAAGCTTTTAGACCCAGTGTGAGCCTGAGAAGCCCTGGCCCAGTCAGCAAAACTGCTGACAGCAGAGAACACGCTAGGAGCCTGGAGCCCGTCCCCCTTGTGCATGGGTGATAATATGGGCAGTCTCTGAGCACCTGCCCTCCTTGGCTGAAGCAGTTTTGGGAGAGGCTAGGCAGAGTCTGGGCTCTGGGGTTCCACAACAGGGCCAGTTGCCATTCTGTCAGGTTATTCTCAGAGGGACAGTGCTGGGGTCAGCTTCTCCATGGCTGTCCTAGGGGCCAGGTACAGATGGACGGCTCAAGTGTGCTGGCCTGAGGGACCCACACTGGTGCAGCTGGGTTCGGTGATGGGGAAGAGGGCAGGATGTCTCTGGGATCAGTGAAAGGTGAGCTCTCAGCCCACTGCTGAGCACTAGGACTACAGTGGGTTGCCACAGGAGTGGCCAGGGACGGCGCTGGGGCACTGCGACTCGCTGCCAGCTGCCCCCTCCTTCCTAAGCAGCAGCTTTTGGGGCTTGCACCAGGCCAGAAGCTTCCTGGAGTAGTGCTTTCAGCGTGGTGCTTAGGCTGTTAGCCCTCCCTAGCTAGCGCAGATGGGCAGGGTATGCGTTCATAGTTACTGGCCAACTTTGGAGCTTCAGAGCCGGCTATGTCATCTTGCACACAAACTGGCCAGACTGGAAGTCTGGCCCTGGAGCCAGGGCAAGCCTAGCAACCCTCTTGCGCCCTCTTTCGGTGTGACAGGCTTCTCCCTCCAGCCTCATCCCTCCCACCCGCTCTGCCCATCCTGCCTACCCCTGCGGCCAATGACTTCCGCTCCAGTCTTGGTCTTGCCCTCAAGGGGCTCTGCTCCTCGGGGAGAGTTCGTCCAGGGGCTGTGCCTTTCAGGCAGCGCAGCCTTTCCTCTAGCTGTGCAGATGCTCCCTGTCCTCCTCCCTGGGTTCCTCTGGGGAAGAAGGCAGGACTTCCTAGAAGGGTTCACGCAGGGAGTCCCCGCAAGGGGCTGGTGCCTGACGGTAAATTTTAACAAGTCAGCCCCAAAGGCCCCAGCTCAGGGCCTGGGTCCTGACCTTCGGCTAGCACGGCTAGCACCTACTCCAACTTCCTGTGATGGGCCACACTAGCAGGACTCAGGGCCCATGAGCAGTCTCATAGATTGAATTAGGGTCTTGCATTGAACCCCATCTCCAACTGTTTCTTTTTGCTTTTGGCGACAGCTCTTGCTATGCAGTTCAGGCTGGCCTTGAACTCACTTTGTAACCCAGGCTGGTCTCAAATTTGCAAGGATCCTCCTGCCTCAACATCCCAAATGCTGGGAGTGAGATTACAGGAGTGCATCACCATGCCTTGCAGCCAGGCTTTTTTTTTTTTTTGGTACTGGAGATCAAAAAAAATTTTTTTTTTTTTTTTTGTCTTTTTCGTTTTTGTTGGTACCAGGGATTGAACTCACGACTGCCTGCAGGTGCTTATGCCACTGAGCTAAATCCCCAGCCTGGAGATCAAATTTAAGCCCTTGCACGCACCTGCTAGGTAGGTGCCTCAGCTGCTGAATCCCCAGCCACTAACTAGCTCTTCTTTAAGGTTTTTCTTTCCAGTTCAGGCAGGCTCTCCTATGTAGTTCGGGCTGGTCTCATGCATGGTTAGTGTGCCTCGGCCTCCTAATGCTGGGATTGCAGGTGCATGCTACCAGGTCATCTCAGAGAAAGGGTGATTTCAACATTCATTTCTCACTATAGCTTGGAGACAACAGCTGAAGCACCTCAGGCTTGTAAAGAGGTCCCTGGTGGAGTATCTCACCCCTACAAGCACCCTGCCACCTCTTCCAAACCTCCAAAACAAGCAGAAGAGACCCTACTCCTTCAGGGGTGTTTATTTCCCGGTCAGAATAGAAGCAAGGACAGGCTCCTCTGCCTGTCAAGGCCTGGGCCTGACAAACACCACTTGGGGACCAGGGAGGGGGAGGGGAGGCACAGGAATCAGCTCCCAACTGTGTGCGCACTTGGTCCCATGTTTGTCCTGGCTGGGTCCAGGGAGGGCCTGCCTGGGGATGGTGGCACTGAGAGCCAGCAGGCCAGCTGGTCCAGAGGACAATATGAATGGAGGCAATAAATACTGACAGGCCAGGCACAAGGTTTTGGGGCCATGGGCCCAGGTGGGACAAGTAAGGCTCAGCAGCTGGCTTTGTCCCCCAAGGGCTCTCTGTGGGGAGGGGGACATGAGCACTGCCTGGGGTGGCAGAAAAGGCAGAGCACACCTGCCTCCCAGATGGGGCTGGGGCACTCAGTTTTGGCAATCTGGCCCTTCCAAAGCCCTGGCTGGAGTAGGGAGAGGGCTGGCCAGGCCCTGGCAGGCTGGGCAGGAGCAAGAGCAGCACACCCCAGGCCTTCCCAGGTCAGCGGGTCACAGACAGGGCAGGGGTGGGGAGACTACATGCTCATGCAGAGAGGGAGTTAGGGTTAGCAAGGCCCCAGCACACGTTCCACATGTTAAGGCATCATGGTTAGACGGTGACTGACAGTGACAAATGGTCTGGGCGGGGGTGAGGGTAGTGGGTGGACTGACCAGGGCCCGGCAGTGTGTACCCCAGCTCAGCTGAGGTGGAAATGAGGCTTGGCAGCCCCACAGAACTCCACACCCTTCTGAAAACCAGGGCCCAGTCTGGGCCTGGGGGAGAACGGGGAAAGGAAATCTGGAGATTGGGGAGGGTCGGGCTGGAGCCCCCCATCCCGACACGGCACAGGCAGAAGCAGCAACGTGACACTAGAGACCATAGGGGCCTGTGGCAGGAGAGCAGGGGACAGGTGGAAGAGTTCCCCGAGATGGACTGAAGGGGAACAACGGTGGGGAGGGGCCCTGTCGGCGCTTTGGCTTGGGGTAGGGTTGGAAATGGGGAGGGTCATGTTTGTCCGTCCATCCGTCTGTCTACCCTGCCCGCCTCCTGGCCAGGCTTCAGTCCTTCCACTCCTTTTTGATGGTGAGATTCCACTCCCAGGACAGATGGTCAGTCTTGTCATCATCTGTGAAGCGGGACTTGATGTTGTAGCTGCCCCGAGCCAGCATGCCCTTGGGTGCCTCCTCCATGGGGGTCAGGAACTCATACTCCTCTGCCCGAGGCCCGTAGCTCCCCACCATGTAGTCGGTCTTGTCAACTGTGGGGCAGAAGGAAGACAATAGCCACTATGTCGCCTGCTCCTCCTGGGAGGCCCTCTGCCTTCCCTCCCCAGGTGCCCACTCACTCTTGACGCCTTTCCGGTAGGTGTGCTGAATATACTTCATGCCAGACACAATCTCCCTGTTAACCTGCAGAGACCCAGGTCAAAGGTCAGTTAGGTTCCCTGGCTCCCTCTCCTGGTGTCCCCCCAAAAGCCTAGGCCTTACCCGGAAAGAGATTTTTATCCGGTACTCCACACCCTCCTTGAGCACAAAGGACTGCTTCTTGAAGCTTTCCAGATCACCTGTGATGGGAGGAGGCTCAGCCCAGGCCTGGGAGGGAGGCCCCAAGTCCTCACTGCAGGCCTCCTTGGGCACCAAGAGTTCCCATCAGGCTCACCAGAGGGTTTAAGACTCGGGAAATTATTTCTAAGGCAGGTGGCAGAGCGCCAATGCCCCAACTTGGGACACTGGTGCCCACTCACCTGTCAAGTCCAGCTCCAGTGGGCCGGGGGCTGTGCTGCACACAAGGGTCAGACGGGTCACGATGACGTTGGGACAGTTGGGGTCTGGAGAGACAGTAGGTTAGAGCTCACCCCCAGAGGCACATAGCCAGGGTAGGGGCAGGGAGCAGAGCACAAGCAGAGAGTGACAGGTGTCCCTGTGCTAGTGCAAGAGCTGCTCCCCAACAGCCACTCACCAGCAGACACGGCCACACGGCCCAGCAGGGCCTCCTTGTACTTGCGCAGGCTCTCATCGTCCTTGTCTAGCTCCTGGATCTCCTGGATGCTCTTCTGGGCTGGGGGCTTGTAGTTGACTGAATGTTCATCCTCCTCATTCTCTGCTGCGATCTGGGCCAACTGCTCTGCTGTGGGTTCCTGCTCTGCCATGCTCACCTCTAGCTTGGGTCTGGGAAACCTAGAGGGGAGGGGGGAGGGAGGGTTGCAGGGCTGTGAAGCTGGGTCACTTTGGGACACTCCCCTACACTAGGGCACCACAGGCTGTGCTAAAGGGGGTGGGTCAAGGGGAGGAGCACAGCTGAATACCTGGCACCCCAGAAAGAAACTTGTCCATCCCCTGTACCGTGATCAGGGGCTAAGAAATGTACACTGTTTTCAAGGAGGTGAGAGTATATGTCGCCCCGTGTGCAGCCCCCGGACCCAGCTGGCAGAGCCACACTAAAGTCCTAGGGTACAGTGGTTTCTGAGCAGCCCAATCCTTTGCCACAAGGAACCCCTAGGCTTGGTTCACAGACTGGGTGTGCCTGAGGGAGTACACTCCAGTCCTAGCCACGTGCAGGATTCAGTCTGTCCCAGCTCACGGTGCGAGTTCAGATTTGGGGGCCACCTGCTATGGAGGGCAGAGGCGCGCGTGGGCTCCAAGCATCCTTAGTGGTTCCCATTTGGGAGGCTCTGTGGCTACAATCTGGGCTACTGCAGCACTCAGCATTCACGGGACCATTCTAGACCCTGGCCGGGGGGCACACAAGAAGGCGTGGACCCCACAGGTACGAACGCAGTCGCCCCCAGATTCCTTTGACCTCGGCTGCTGCATAAACTCGCCAGATCCCGGAGCGGCGCCCAAAGCAATTTCGGATCACCGCGGGCGGCGCAGCAGGCAAAAACGCGCTCTTCCCTGCAGCCTGCCCGAGGCCCGGACTCTGGCGATGCAGGACAGCACGGGGGCTTCCGGCCAGTCCAAGAATTCCGCGGCCCACAGAGCGAGGCCGCCGGCGACAGCATCCCGGGCGCGGCCCGCACTTCCGCAAGAGCTGAAATCTGGGTGGGGTGGGGCGCGCGGCCGGAGCCCGGGGATCGGACCCGACTTAGGAGCTGCCTGCGCGGCCCGGGGTGCCTGGCAGTGTACAGAGCTTGACGCCGCGGACCGGAGTAAAAGACCCGCTCGACTGGGGCCTGTGCTGGGCCCCCGGCCCGGCCCGCCCCACCCCGCCTCGCTCCGCCCCGCCTGCCGTCTCCGCAGCCGGCTCACAGACCCCGAGCGGCACATACCGGCGGCACAAAGGCGGGCTCCCCTCAGCCGCGCGCCCCCCGCCCGGGTACTCACCGGGGGCTCGACCACCGCGCTCGTGCTCCCTCCCGCACCAAGTGACGAACGTCGTCCGCCGCCCGCCGCCCGGACGGCCACTTCCGGGGTCACACAACTTCCGCTCCCGCGGGCGGAGCCGACTGCGCATGAGCAGTGGGTGGGGCGGCGAGCTTCGCCGCCATCTTGCGGCCGGCGCGCCCCGCGTGGGCGGGCGGTTTCCGGAACAGCGGCGACCTGGCGACTTCTGATGTGCTGGGACCTAGCCTTGGGGGCCTTTGGAGCCGAAAGTGGCGGCCCTCCTGATCGGCAGCCTTCGTGGGGTGGCACCTCGCGAGTGGGACCGTCCGGTTGCCGTGGCCCTACGGGGCACACCCATACGTCCCCCTCAGACAGGGGTCGTGGCGCGCACCCCGATCGTGGCTGACCCTGCGGGCTGGGTCAGATCTTGGGCCTCGCGGCCTCTTGCAATAAGTAGTATCCCAGGAACTCGCCTCGCTGTAGAACCCGACGCCCAGCTCAGGGCCGGCAGAGGTCCCTGTGCTGCTGGTGCCACGGACTCCTGGCCCGCTGCCACCTGCTGGGCAGCAGCGCATTGCTGCGGGACACCCTGCGCCACTGTTTTGTTGTGTCTCGGAAGTGGACCCAGCAGGGTATTTTTGGCAAGATCCTCATCTCGGTACTTTTGGGAGGTCTCCCGGTGTTGGAGGGCTGTGTAAGCATTGCCTGGTCTTCGTGTTATGGGATGGGAAGTTTCCATGGCCGGAGGCACTTCCTTCTGTTTTGGTTAAATGAGCGCAGTCGTTTCCAGGCTTTGGGGCTCGGGAATTCTACGCTTGGGTAAGCCAAGTGTTTTTAGATATCCCAAAACCTCTTATCAGAAAATTTCGAACACACTTTATTAGTAATCTACCCCAGTGGGTTTTTTTCTTTTTTGTTTTTTTTTTTTCGTTTTGAGACAGGATCTTCATTGTGCAGTTCAGGCTGGCCTGAGCTCACTTTGTACTCCAGGCAGGTCTCGAACTCACAAGGATCCTCCTGAATACTGGGATTACAGGGGTCCGTCACCACTCCCGGCTACAAGTATACTCCCATGTTACAATGAACTCTGAAACTTAGCAGCTCCATACACCAGCGGTGGAAGTAATTGCAGGCAGTCGGATCAGGGAATAAGCAGTTTGCTGGGGTTTCCTTGTGATGTCTGCTCAGGGATCCTGAGGTCCCAGTTCCTCCTAAGGACGCCCCCTCAGCGGCTGAAAACTGCACAGGCCAGCCCTGACTTCCCCCAAGGGAGGCCTCAGGCAGACAGCTGACAGCACTGGAGAAGAAACTTAGTCCCACAGGCCTGCTGGCAGTATGGCAGGGCGTGGGCACACTAAGGTAAAAGGATGGTGTGAAGCCCCCGGTGGGAGCTGGGCACAGCAGCGCACACTTCCACAACCCAGCACATTGTGAAGCTGGAGGCAGCAGGATCCTAAATTAGAACATGGCCTGGGCTTGCCTGTCTTTTCTTTCTATTGAGACACAATGTTGCTAGGTAGTCCCCACTGGGCTTGAACTCGATGTGTAGCCCAGGCTGGCCTCAGACTCTCAATCCTCCTGCATCAGCTTCCCAAGTGCTGGAATTACAGGCATACACCACCACATCTGGCTTAGCCAGGCAATCTTGCAATTTAAGAGGCACTGTTTCAGAATTTAAAAATAAGTAAAAAAGGCTGGGCATGTAGCACAGTGCAAAGGTACACACACACACACACACACACACACACACACACAGTGCAAACTTTGTTTTTCATACCAGGGATTGAACTCACAACTTTGCATTTGCCAGGCAGGTGCTTATGCCCTTGAGCTAAATACCTAGCCCCCAACTATAAGTATTTCAACATACATGATTTGTTTCTTTGTGACAGGGTCTTGTTATGCAGTCCAGGCTGGTTTCAGCTGTCTTCGAACTCAGGAAGACTTTCCTGCCTCTGCCTCCTGAGTGCTGGGAAAACAGGCACCCACAATGATGGACTCAACATGTATTTTATTCCTAAAGAAAAATGCCCTTCAGGATGTGCCTCAGTAGTAAAATTCTTACCTTGCATGCACAGGGCTCAAAAATCGATTCCAAAACAGTGACTCAGACAGCAGTTCCTCTCCTGTCCAAGGCTTCTGGGGACAGGCCCTCTCGAGGAGCCTCATTCACCCTAATCCTGCACCCAGCTGGGCTTCCTCCCATAAGGTTCCCAGCACAGAACCTTCTGCCAAATTCCTGCGACCTGACCTTGGAGACCCCAGACCAGTCCCAGTGCTCCCATCCGCAGCTCCAGCCCCCATCTGAGACAGCCCATGCTCGAGGTTGGTGCACTTGACCACCTGGAAATGGAAGATCTGCAAGATGCCTGTTGGAGGGGCTGGGGATTTAGCTCAGCGGCATAAGCGCCTGCCTTACAAGCAGGTAGTCGTGAGTTCGATCCCTGGTACCGGTAAAAAAGACCATCTTGGAGAGAAAAACAAAAAAGATTGGATAGTGATCTTTTCTCCCTAGGATGGTTATCTTTTAAAGTATCTTTGCCAATGTCATGACCTAAAAGGATGTCTTATTATTTTAACTTGCTTTTCTCTCATTTTCAAAGGTTAAATATTTTTCTATGCATTAGAAATGTCTTTTGACCTGGCAAGCTCGAGGTTGACTTTGATCCTTAAAACAAACAAAAGAATTGTCTTTTGAGCTGGGTGTGATGGTGTACCCTTGTAATCAATCCCAGCACCTGGGAGGCTGAGGCAGGAGGATTCCAGTGAGTTTGAGGTCAGCCTGGTCTACATAGTAAGTTTGAGGCTAGCCTGAATTACATAACAAGACCCTATTTCAAAAAGAAAAAATTATTTTTTTTATTGGTACAGGGGATAGAACTCACGACTGCCTGCTTACAAGGCAGGTGCTTATGCCGCTGAGCTAAATCCCCAGCCCCCTAAGAAGAAAAAAAATCTTTTGGAGGACCAGGAGTGTAGCTCAGTGGTAAAACAGGTACTTAGCATGCATAAGGACCTGGAGTGGTGTACATCTGTAGTCTCAGCACTCAAGAGATTGACGAGGGAGGATCACTTTGAATTCTAGGTCAGGCTGAGCTACATAGTGAGTTCAAGGGCAGGCTCAACTACAAAGACTGTGTCTACAAAAAAAAAAATTTTTTTTTTCCTAGTACTATGAAAATGAAAAAGAAACCAGAATTGTTTACCAGTGTTCAGTTTGTTCTGACTTTTTAGTATTGATTTGCAGAAGTTTTTCTAAGTCCCTGTTCCCTGGAAAGATAGAAATTCATTGTTTTATGGTACTGCAGATTGACACCAGGGGTGCTCCACCACTGAATTACACTGCATAACTATATATATTTATAGTATGATTATATAATGTAAAATTATATATATATATATATATATATATATATATATAAATAATTTTTTGTCTTTTTTGAGATGGGGTCTCGCTATGCAGTTCAGGTTGGCCTGGAGCTCACTTTGTAGCTCAGGCTGGTCTCCAACTCACAAGGATTCTCCTGCCTCAGCCTCTCAAGGGCTGGGATTATAGGCTTGTTCCACCAGGTCTGGCACCCAGCTACAAACTATTTTTAGTCCAGCGATACCATGGATATCAGTATTTAGTGTTTTCTTAGGAATACCCAATAGGCTGAGTTCTCTGGGTCTTGGAGCTGGTCCTTACCCTGTTACCAGCCCCAGGGCAGGAACAGTCTGTGTTGTACCTCTTTGGAAGATCCATACTTCCCACCTGTACCTGAAGAACTGAGGAAGCCAGGAGACCTTAACTATTTTTATATACATCCTTAACTATTTTTATATACATGTTGTTTCTTTCAGCTGCTCACACTAGTGAGACATGATGTTTACATGTGCCTGATTTATTTCACTTATGAGTATGGTCTCAAGTTGCATCCATTTACCTATAAGTCTCCATTTTATCCTTTATGGCTGTACTCCACTGTATAAAAATACATCTTTTATACCCACTTCTCCTTTTTTACCCACAATGGGTGTATAGGTTGTTTCCAAGATCTAGTTATTAAAATTGTGCTGTTATAAACATGGGTGCACATATATTACCACGGTGTTTTTCTAAGATAACCAGAAAAATAGCTGGGCCAAATGGGACCTCTAGTCCTAGTTTTTTGAGGACTACACATTGATTTCCACAGTGTACCAGTCTGCATTCCCACCAAGAGTGGAGGAGAGTTCCTTTTTCCCCATAGCCCTTCTGGCATTCATTATTGCTTGATTTCTTGGTAATAGCCATTCTTTTTGGGGTGAGGTGAAATCTCAGTGTTGTTTTAATTTGCATCTTTTGAATGTCCAGTGATGTTGAACATTTTTTCACAGATTTGCTGTCTGTATTTTTTCATCTGAGAAGTGTGTATTCATCTCAGATGCCCATTTTTGGACTGAATCTTTAGATCTGGGAGGACTTTTTTTTTTTTTCATTTATGTGTTCTCCATAGTAATCCTTTGTCTGAGGAACAGCTGGCAAACATTTTCTTCCATATTGTGGGCTCTCTTCACTGGGTGGTTTTTTTTTGCTGTGCAAAAGCTTTTCAATAGAGTAAGATCCCAGCTGTTGATTCTTTGTGATAGTTCCTGTGCAGTTGGGGTTTTGTTCATTGAGTCTTTGTCTACACCAATATCTTCAAGAGTTTTACCTACTCTATATAAACTTGGTGTTTATATATTTGCCAAGGACTTAACAAAAAAATATTAAGTCTATTAAATCATTAATGGAGGGGGCTGGGGATTTAGCTCAGCGGCATAAGCGCCTGCCTTGCAAGCAGGCAGTTGTGAGTTCGATCCCTGGTACCGATAAAAAGGAAAAAGACAAAAAAAAAAAAAATCAATGGAAACATTTTTTGGAAAGAGTCACCTTAGCCTCCTGACTGTTACAGTTACAGGTGTGTACCACCATGCTGGGTCATTAATGGAAATTTGAATGACTCAGATTTGTTTTGTCTTTTTGAGACAGGATTTTATTATGCAGTTCAGGCTGGCCTTGAACTCACTTTGTAGCCCAGGCTGGCCTCAAACTCACAGCAATTCTCTTCCCTTAGCCTCCAGAATGCTGGGATTACAAGTGTGCACCACTACACCTGGCTTGAATGATTTATGAGGAATTTATACATTTTTTAAAAAGTAATATGCTCACATTAACCTTTATATCATTAATTAT